CAGGAATTCAAATAATGAACTAATGTTAACTGCTATGACACTTCACAGAGCATAGGAGATCACAACACTGTCTGCCAATCAGGATAGCAACATGTACTGTGAAATTCTAGCTCATCCCATACAGGGAAGTTTGCTTTTGAAAAATGTTGTTGCTGTGAATATTTTGTTTTCTACACACAGTGTATGACAAGATTAGACCAGATACTTGTAGGCTGAAATATAAACATGCCCTTGGCATGCCTGAAGTTTATTTTTATTTACAATATACATACTTAACTATCTATCCCCATGGAGCAGAGTCCTTCTTGAGAAATTTTTCAGCTAGTAAAGACATTTCCTGCCTTTTATGGAACTTGAAAGTACCTATCTCCAGCCAGATTAATCCAATCAAAACCCTCTAATATAAATCTTAATATTATCCCCCCATCTATGCCTTGGACTTCCAAGTGGTCATTTCCCTTCAGGACATGCGGTATACTGCCATATAGAACAGGTTCAGAATCACTAGAGTGCCTCACCATTTGCTGAACAAACCACAAGATCATTATATTCAAGCAATGGAATTAAGTCATCCTTTTACCTGGTCCAGTAGAATTTCAAGAGGTGGGCCACTGTATCCTTTTACCAACTCAGTAGCATCCCAGTCAGCCCAATTGGCTGATTCAGCAGAGCCCAAGTAACCAGAAAATGCTTTCTGTCCCCATTTACTAATAATTGGATTGCAAATTGCAGAAAATGCTGAAACACTACGATACTTTCCTGGATTCTTCAGGGCACAAATCAAAGCACCATGACCTCCCATGCTATAAAACAAAAGAAGACATCCAATACCTTATTATAACAAAAATTATCATTTTCAGAGTTCACAGTATCAAGCTGCTTAGGTATAAAATCCAAAATAAAATCTTAATCATTCACAGAGACAGTTGAGGTTATGATGACAATGTTATTACCTACAACAAAAATCCTGTTTTAGCTCATGAGCTGATTTCTGTGGGTGTATTCTTTTTGCATTATTAAAAATAATACTCAAGTCTAAATTCAGTTCTCAATGGATACCCAGAATGTAGATTTCAGATCCGAAGACACGTTGATTTGAAAGCTGAAATGAGAATTTGGAGTGGCAAGATTAAGGAAACGTGTGTTTTGGGAAGAAGAGGTCTAATGCTGTTTGAATATTAGATTCAGAGAGTTAAATAATATGGAAGGGGAAAATGTTTTGCAGTACCATAACATATTTTCTGACCAAACACTTATGAAATTAAGGTCCTTTACTGCAACACAAGATGTCAGTTAAGTAAATATTAGATTTTAGATTTCAAGTTTCCATGATGGTAAACAAGTTAATTGTATGGTTTTGAGGTGGTATGTGATTACCAATGTTCTGGAGCAACATATCACCAGCATCTTCAGGGTAGGTGGCAATCTGTACCACCAAAATCTTGGTAATCACCTAGAAGAATATAAGGAGTCATAACCCAGAAAACAACAATCAAAATACTATGGATATAATTACAAGTCATCCTATTAAAAAATATCTGTAAATAATATACCTGTGTCCCATTATGGACTGACATTCCTCTAAAGCAGCAAAATTTGAGTTGATAATTTCTGGAAGTTCTTTGGTAACATACGAGAACATACGGTAGTTTTTATTCCAAGGCTCTTGGGTAGCATCCACATAAAATCCAGCACCAATACCAAAATCAGAGCTGTCATCATCTCCAGGAATTTTACAACCCCCTACATGAAAATTAAATATTAACACATGGCCCCACACCTCAAGAACAAATATGTAACTAGAACTAGGAAGACAAATCTGTGAGAAGGTCACCATAATAAAACAAGAAGTTCCAGGCAGAACTCATAAAGTTTATTTTCCCAAGGCTCAAAATTCTGGTCATTAATTTTGTGTTGTTCCTATTTCAAACCAACAATAACTGTGTTAATAAAAATCAATAGCAAAGGTGTTTCATAACATTCTGAAAAGAAGAAATTATGCTCACTTGGGCTGGTGTCTGGCACAACAATTATAATGCCATGTTCAGAAGCGTAACGCTGAACTCCAGATTTTGTGGTGAAATTTTGTTCAGTACAGGTCAAGCCAGAAAGCCAGTAAATAACTGGAACTTCTCCATCTTCAGCCTGTGGTGGTAAGTAGATTGCAAAATTCATTTGGCAGCCAAGCTCCTTGCTTGAAAGAAATAAAGATTTCATTGCACTTCACAATATCTTATCCAACACACAGTCCACTATTAATGGCACTTAACATATCAATCCACACCAAATATAAAATCTGGAGCAGAAACTGGTAAAGAGAAACATCATCACATTTATCTGTCCCAGACTGAGGACTGTGCAAGTCTGGGAACACTTCCTCATGTCAACAGGGTACATTGCAAAACCATTTGCTGATTCTCAAAAAATCACAGAAAGTATGCCCATAAACATAAAAGTGTACATTGTGTGATGCATTCTGAAAGAATACCACTACTCTGCATTTCTACCAAACAGTGTATTACATGCACAAGAGTTTTACTGCTCTATTACTACTACTACTATTTACAAATAACCTATATAGAGGTTAGTTTTCCCTCCAGTTATAATACTTAAAACAAATTACCTGTCATGAGAGAAAACCTTTTGGTACCCTCCAAAACTGCGGTTGCTTGATACTTCCTTTAATGCAGTCATCTGTGAAACAACAACAAACCAAAAAACATGTTAGTTAACAATACACCGTATTTTAGCAACATAAATGATTACTCACTTAAAAGGTTCCATAACACCACAAAAATTTACTTTATTACATTTTGACTATTACAATTCTTTCGGCCCTGTGTCTCCTCGAAACATACCTTACACCTTTCAACACTCGGTAATGCCAAAGTAACGATTGCTTGAACTTGTGACGAAGGAGTAACAGTAATGATACCATTACGCACGATCCCATACAAAACAGAACCTAATCTAACCTAAACTAGTCTTCACAACCGACTACCAGTTAGATGAATTTCGTAACGAGAGAATAAATGAACCAAAATTACTGAACTTTAGTATGAACGTTACGCCATAAGGTTACTCCAATCTCATACTTTATTCCATCCTGTACTCTGCAATACCATATGACGACTACTTGAAGTCGTTGGTGGACTGCTGGTGGCATCATGTCCCGTCATCCTCTGCGTATTCGCATCACTAACTTAACCTATTCCATTCTAACCTAAGCTAGCCCAACCTAACCTAACCTCATGTCTTCACTTCATTACTATACTGTTACCTGGAACAGGTCAAATTGGAAGAATGACATCTACAGATGTCAACCAGTATATAATCTTACACATATTTTATTAAAATCATGTACTTATATATATATATCAGTACATTACAACAATGCACGGTCGCTAATAAATCAGAATACCGAATATTCCAGCTTGCATGAACTATCAATCTGATTTCAATAAAAAATACATATATCAAATGAACTACTGCTACTACCATCTTCACCTTAAGGTAAAACAGCCAAACTCAGTCACAAACTAGTACTTAATACTTCTCCAAACTGCTGTCCGCAATAACACAGTCAATCAACAGCACACATTAGTACCAACATACACATATTACACGTCATGTGAGCAGTGAGAAAACGTAGGGGATTGAAACTTCCCAGTTCTTTAGCACACAATTTATGGACTTGTCTCTTCATGTAGTAGTCCTTGAGAAGCACAGGTAGTACGATATTCTGACAGGGAGGGCAAGCTGAAGCAACCGTGGAATTGGTGGCTCTTTTCTGGATTGTGGCACTGTTCGGTATTTGTTTACCGACATTTCTGAGGCACATGCTACCGCCATCACCAATCCTGATAATAGAGGCAGTAAGTGCATCTAAAAATTGGGGTGTGGCTGTGTCGGGGACACGGCCGTGGGTTTTACGTGAATACGTCTGCGTTAGCGGGTAATATTTTATTTGGGATATGGGAATGAGCCTCCAACGGCTCAGCGATAGCGGCCGTCGAGGTGCTCGCGCCGTCGTTTGCCGCGTCGACTTTCCGACGTTCCCGAAGCCGTCTCACACTCATTCCGACACGGACATGGCGGTACTGATCGATGGCTGATTAGACGCCCTTTCCTATGAAATGTGTTGCTTGTATTTCCTCTGGGCTTTTCGGTGAGTATGGGCCAACATCAGAAAGTTTAAATTTTTCACGACTTATTTTTGATTTGTCACAACAAATATTTTCAAAGTTCACTTTTTATGACTTAAATCGACAGATCTAGACGAGATCTTTCGTTTGGCACCAAAATCAGCGCGCTAGCACATCGGAGTCGCGAGATATACTGCCCGGAAATTTTCGCCCACGCCCAAAATGGCCGCCAGTCGCCGCGGACCCCCACACTCGCGCCAACTCAAGGTCATGCTCGCATCGTAGTCGTATACCCGATCGAAGACCACATTTATTTCAATCGTGTTATTAGTCACGAAATGAGTGTCGGAATGGATCACCCTGCAAACGTTACATCGCCGTTTCCGTCTTGGCACCCCATGTGTCGGTCTGATTTTAAAGACGTATTCACGTCAAAACGTCGGTAATTTTTTACCAGACTACAATCCAGAAGACAACCATTATCATATTCACTGCCATGAGAACCACAGATCCGACTTATTGATCCGTGTTCCTGTGATTTTGGTCTGATGGCAGTGTTTCACATGAAAGACCGTGACTCAATGGAATTGATCTAGGTCCAATCTTATAAAATGCTAAACTTCATTAACAATATGTAGACTATTGTCCTGTAAACCACCAGTCTATTTTAGTACTGAAATTAATTCTGGTGACAGCCATCAGGTAGCCTAGATGATAAATAGCACATCCAATTGACTTTGTGCCTATCACATCAACCAGTTTCTTGATTAGTATATGACTGATCAATATGTCCAATACCTTCTTACCTATGAAGATGGTAGGCTTTTGTATGCCATCAGCTATATTGTTAAACACAAGGATCATTGTGTGATGATACTTGGTTCATGTCAGATCCAGGAAAGTTTGACTGCATGATAGAGTCACAGGCTAAGTGATATTGTTGGGAGGTGCTTGATTTATTTCATACCCAGGGAAGGTGAGCCATGAGGTGTAGGATAGGGTTAAGATTTGAGTTGGTACTGTGCAGACACATTTATAGTATGTTTCTTCTCACAAAGTACCTAGATCTTATATGACCTATAGCTTTTGCAGTGACAAAATTCAACGAAATTCTCACAGGCAATCAGCCACATGAGGTGGCCAATATTCTCCACTCTAGTGCAGTACCTCACTTGACAACATATTTCTTTCATATTCTCTATCCCTGCCTTCTCATATTTTAAACTCCCTCATACTCATACAAAACATACTCAGCTAAATGAGAATCATGAAGATTCATTACCATGTTCACAGAAATCCATGACTGCTTTCATCTGATCAAACAATTTTCACCAAAGAGAGACTAAAATGTTTAGTTTATTACTTATGACATACTCCAAGCATTACTAGTAACTAGATGGTGATGATTTTTGAATTGATATATTTTCACTGATTTACTTACTATGTATGTAATACTACAAACTATTAGTGCAACATGAAAATTGTTGGTTTGAGAGGTAAGCCAGCAGCAAATAGCTGAGAGTGAACATGTTAAACAAGGTGACAGGGTGTGGACTGAATTCAAGATAAAGTCCAATAGAAAGATGTGAAAAATAATGACTCTCAGGTTTCATAACAAAAAAACAGGAAATTTCAACACTGATGGATAAATTACAAACTTAAAATATCCACATCATGGCGTTAGTTAACAATCATGATTATAGCAATAATTAAATCATAAGTGATTTATTGTAGCATTATTTTCTTTACACAATTTAAAAGAAAAACATGTGCTGTTCCCTATTCAAACTACTGTCTGTATTCTCATAAATTAAAAATAATTTTAAGTCAGCAAAACAATGATACAAGAACTGTCAACATAATTCAAACATCTTGTCTCAAGAACTGAAATGCTACCTAAACATTGCAATGAGTATTAAACGTTATTAACATTAGTTTAAAAAAATGTGAACTTCAAATATAAAGAAACTGCAAGAAACAGACTTAGTACATAATACAAAATGTTCAATTCTTGTTTCATTCTTTTTGTGTGTTTCATTTTTTACTTAAAAGTACTACAAAGTTTAAACTTAAAAGTGGTACAATTAATTATTTCCCTAAATTTTGAACCACTAAATAACCCAATCAAGGCACATTAAATCTACTGACAATATTACAAAACACAGATACATGGATATAATAATGTACTTAAAATGGAGTGGAAGAGGTTTAATAGTTTCAAGAATTTGGATCAAAATAATTTTAAGAAATGGGCTGTCAATTTAGATTTTACCTGATGTGGGGTTTTGAGGCCTGACAATTAAATGACAAATATATCATCCAGAAAGACTGTTGGAAGAACTTGGACCTGATGGGAAAACAAAAACTGGGCTAGTTATGAGATTTGGGCCACCCAGTAACAGAACACCAAATTTTATACAGGAAAAATCCAGTGTTTGGACCAAAAAATTGGTAAGTCAAAATCAAAGATCAAAACCATACTTATCTCTGCTTTTTAGTGGATAAAATATCCATTATAAATTTAGATTAGGGTACTTGCTGATGGTGTGATACAGTCAGGTTTATTTGGTGTTTGGACTTTGTCCATTGTCCAAGGTTAAAATGTGTATGACATTTCAAAAACTGGATCCGTTTTGTTGTACACACTTTAACCTTGGATGATGGACAAAGTCCAAAAATGCAATAAACCCAACCATTACAAATTTGTTCCTCCAAACCACTTAACCTAAAATTCTACCTTCAAGATATTTCTGGTAGCACATTCATCAAGGAACAAACCAATTTTAGACCAAAACAATGCTCCTTCTCACACAGCACCTTTAGTCAAGTAATTCTTGGCCGAGAACAATTAACCAGAGTTAGAACATCCAAATTACTTGCCCTATTTGATTTCATGTTCTGAAACTGAAATGATTAAAGAATTTTAAGACATTCAGCATAATGTGACATTACAGAAAGACTTTCACCAACAAATTCCAGGAATAGCAAAGACGCTGATTGAATTGCATGTGGAAACAGAGATGGCCTCACAAATTAATGGTGACATTTTTAAATTGTTTATTCTATTCTGAAAGAACCAGTCCAGTTATTTAATTGCCACACCTCATACAAATGGTCCTAAATAAAAACTCAATCATTATTATATGCATTTACATAATTCCATTATTACTGTGTTGCTTAATTAGGATTTCAACATACCTTTTAAAGAAGAACTCCATGATGACATCACAAAAGCAGCTCCAAATTTGAAGCTATATCCAGGAAAGAATTCTACTGCAGAATACACATCCCCCCTTCTTTTTCTTGTTTGGAGCGCTTCTGATGTAAAGTTGCACCAGAATTAAGTTTGTATAAGACATTAACGTTACATCTGTTCCATTTTCGTTTTATTTTTTGATTCAAAGTAAGATAAAACTATAAATAAAAAACTTATAAATTTAATACAAACTCTTAAATTCTATGCAATGTAAGAGGTGCAACTCAACATTACAAGTGTAACAGAAAACAAGCCTAACATAAGACACACAACATATCTTTCCTTGTGATGGCAACAAGAATAAAACATGCAAAACTTACGTATCCAAATCACTGCAGCTAACAAATTTTTTTCTTTCTTTCGCTACACATACTTCAAGAACAGACATCTGGGAATGTGTAAATTTAAATTGTTCTTTACATCAATTTTTTTTTAATTCTATCTACAATGTCAAGACTTAAATACTAGATTCACCTTGCAAAACGTTGAACAGCCAATGCCAAATGTTGACTCCAGTTACATTCCAACATGCTTCCCAATGTTGCAGTTGGGATTGGAAGAACAGTATTTGTCACTTCATTTAGATTTTCTTGGTGTGAATCTGACTTTGATTCTTCACAAGACTCGACACCTACCAGAATTACAAAGCTGTAAAGATTCAAAATAAAAATAATTTCCTGATAAAACAACACCACATCCTTTTCTGGGGGACAAGCATGTGCTTACTTCAGGAATGGGGAGGAAAGTAAAAAGCAGATTTAGTAATGCCCATTATTTTCCATTTGAACAGTTGAAGAATGACTATTCTATTCTATTCTGTTCATATCAAATAGTGCAACTTTTCCCTTCAATGAATTAACACAAGAGACTTAAGTAAAAAATATATTTAAGACTTGAAGTTATCAATGTAACTAAGTGATAACATTTATTTAATATTAGACTGTACTAATAGCAACTGTACATGCAGCAGGTTTCATGTTATTTAACTGTAACAATAATGCATAATTCAGCTATGGACGTGGCAAGCCAGTCCTTCAAAAGTAATCTGAACTTTAGTAACCTAGAGCTGTGAGTTAAAAATGATAGTTTATGCCACCCATAAAGGGAAGCAAAATGACTAATTTATTATCCCTGATTAATGTGTGAATAAAATGTCATATAAATTAAAAGCTATAAAATGTACTACCATCATCTGCTTGTATGTCATATTGAAAAAAAAAAAACTAGCCCAACATTTTCTATCATGTGCAGAATTTGTAAAAACACTTCCAAATTTTCACATTTTCTGCACATAAACTATGTCATTGTTTAGATTCATATCATTTGAACTGCCTTTACAAATCAGCACCTCGATATAGGCACATTACAGTTATATTCATTGTGTTTCGTTATTATAACATACTAAAATATCAAACCACCTGACCAATGAATGTATAAATTTAAGATATTTTATAAACAGTATAAACAATCCTACTTGGCTCTTCTAACCTATATGTTCAAAACAAAACTCCATATCTTGTATATTTATAGTAATAAATGTATCTCTCATCTATATAAAAGTAAAATATTATTTGAGAATTATAAACCTTTGCTGCTGTAAATACTAACTTTAAAGCAGAAATATTAGATTCAATGTTATGCAGGATAAAATTTACTTTACTCCCAAGTAAGCACACTTCATATATACACAAAGAAGGTAAATGTTCATCTAAAATGAACAGCATTCCACTATTACCAGCACACTTAACTTGGCCAAGAAAATTCATTCCTCTTGGAATCCTTCAGCCATCCAATAGTTCTCAATTGCCATGTCTCAGGGTTAACTGCTAAATGCAAATAACAAACACACAACATGTTTGCAATCCATTTCTAACTATGCCATCTGTAACATGAAACACGTTACACTGCTGTGTAACAAACTAATCCAAACACAGCTAAATATTTACATGACTACTTAATATAACTAGTTAAACGTTTTTTGGAAAAAATATTATGGCGAAATCTGTCATATGAATTATAAATAAAATTGTCCTATTCTTCAAAGACTTGTATCTATGATATCTCACATGATAATATAAACATCCAGCCCCAACTCTCATTATCTAAAGCTGTTATTTCTCATATTTAAGCAAATTAATAGTAAATATAATGTGAAAGTTATTTTCATTAAAACATAAAAATATGACTTTAACTTAATATAACAAATTATTTACAGTATCAAATGAGATGAATTTATGATTCAACACCTACACAGTAAGAAGTTCCAAGAACATGAAAATGGTATGTTATTCATAATTTTATAACATATGAAATGCTGCTTTTCAATTAGAGATTTTAAACATTTATAAACATGGCATTATTATGTCATATACCATACAAAATAAAATTATTTTACCTAATTACTGTTGTACTACTAGTGTATCACACAAACAAGAATTCCTGCAAGTGTAACTGAAATATCCAGATTATATCTTAAAGGTATAGAGGACATGAGAAATGTTGACATACGTTTAAAACGAAAACAATTATGAAAAATTTATAACTGGCCAAGTTAAGGTAAGGTCAATCAACACCCACATACACACAATCAACTGTGGACAGATGTGTTTATGGGTGTCAAAAAGCATTCTTTTATAATCTGTGTAAACAAATGAAGGGATCCTCCGATGATAAATACCTCTAAAGAGATCCATCATTAACACACACCATTGGGGAAAAATGTTGCTGTATTTTGCCTCCCCCAATGCAGACGCACTGTTATTGGAGAACCTAGGAGTATGAGTGACTGTCTACAATGCTGGAATTAAAATACCAAAATCTACCCCAAAATTCTGAGCTGCAGTAAAACAAACACACAAAGTTCAGGGATGTGCGAGTTTTTCCAATAAAAATTACAATTTTTAAGTTATTTTAGCAATCAAAACCAAAAACTTGAAAATGTTGAAGTACTCGAACACCCCTCAACAAAACTGGCAAGCATTTGTTGACAAAGATATTTTAAAATGGTACCCACCACAAGAAGAAAACAACTAACCAAACACCATTTTTAAAACTGTCTCCCATTAGTGACACCTTTGCATTAATGTGGAATTTTCTGACAAATTTATAATTCCTTCTGTAAGTCTCAAGTTTCTGCAAGAACTGCTTACAATATTTTGAAATGGCAACTTTCAATGTGACATTTACTACTGGATAAGCAAGTATTGTCCACATATTTAAAACAAACATATGCTTACAAAACAAAATAAATTTTATTGTAATTCCAAAACAAATTAATTCATTCATGTATTAATATAAATTCCGCTTTACTCAAAGTGACAGAAAATGTTAGTCATATAATTTTCTGAGACAGCTTGCACTATAACAGCATTAATCACAGTACCAATCCATCTTCATACCTGCTGACATGAGAACCTCAAATCTCAAGTATCATAAAACTTGAGACTTTGAAGGCAAGAAATATACAAAATACATAAGCATAGTTATTTTCATTAACATATGAAATCCTCTAACTATTTATAACTTGTCTTTAATTTATTCATTAAGGGCCATTAACAAAAATTAATGAGATGCCTTAAACTAAGTTAGCTATAGGGGTCACCTGGAACTGAGCAATATCCTGTTGTAAACACCGGCACGGTCTAAACCAACCAATCACAAGCAGGCTGAGCAGAAGTATGCATCGCTAGTGGAGTAAATGGTGCACCATCAATCAAAGCTACCAATGAATTATAGTAAACTGCCTTAAACTAACCCGAGACATTGCACTATGTAACACTATCCTACACTGTTTTCCTCCTATGAAAAGACAATCAGTATCATATAATATGAAATAAGAAACATGGAAAGAATAAACCTGGGCAGTCAAAATGCAGACAATGAGCCACTAAATCTTGTGAAGAATGAAGTTTGGTTTAGTTAAAATCATTTAGAGATTCACCAGATGGTGACTGTTAACATTTTTTTTACTATTAATGCACAAGTATTTTGTTTTTTGTTCCTCCAAGACCCTCAATACAGCTTAACATACAGGCATAAAGCAAGCAAGGAAGAAATGTGTGTAATCCACTTCCTATAAAAAAATATTCAAAATATTCTGATTGACGTTTGTCACAGAAAGTTCTCAGAATATAGTAATAATCTACAACAGCAGCTCCTGTGACTTACATTTGTTTTTCCCAATGAGACACACATACACAGCTGTTCCTTCAAGGTCATGTCATTCTTTCTCCAGACAAAAGAGGAAGATGGAACCATGTTATACATGAATTCCCAAATTTGTATATATTTACAAATGAGGCATGGAAAGCAGAAAAAACCCACACACTTTCACACATTCATCTCCTCATTCTAATCTATCTATCTTTAACTCCCTGAAGTTGAAGCATGTCAAAAAATACATAAGATTTCAGTTTGTACTGCAAAGAAAACACCACACTTAAATATATAAGTCAAATGGTTAATGCTGTTGAGAAAATAATTGAGGTCATACTGCCTCCGTCATCAGGGCGATGAATATGCCCTGATGACGGAGGCAGTATGACCTCTGAAACGTTGGTTAACATTGACCAGACTACACAGCGCAATAACCCAGAAGACGGATATCTTCAAAATAATTGCTGTTTAGGTACTTGTGGGTTATCGGGACACATCACTTTAAAAATAGGTTAGGTTAGGTTAATGTGTGTGGATAAACGACATATACTTGAAAGTTATTATCCACACACATTAACTTAACCTAACCTATTTTTAAAGCGCTGTGTCCTGATAACCCACAAGTACCGCTGTTTATAGTGAAAATCATACAAAACCCATATACATGGAGAAACCACTGGGCTGTAAAGGGTTAACATTCTTCTTAATTCCAGCAAATGATTTCTAATTTCACTATTACATACCAACATTTTTATACCATAGGCAAAGTAAACTACACAAACAGAAAGATCAGAAAGGAAGTGCAAGTATTTAAAAAAACAATAACTCATTCTTCACAAAATTATATGTATTTCATTCTCCGCATTATGAAATTCTTTCCCAATTTTATACGTGTGTGTTCAATGCTCAACAGCTACGTATAACTTTCACACACATAATGAACTGCAAGAAATTTAACTTTTAAGATAAAAACAAAATAAACATGTACCTTTCTTTGCCATTTCTATAATGATTTCGATAGAAAAAATGTAAATTTAAATTAATAATTCTATTACTCTTATTTAGGTTCTGACATCAACAGCACATATGTATGGCATTTTTATTTGCCTCATCTAAAATGAAAACATCTGACTGCCATTATCTGGCTAAATTATGGACTAGTGCCACTCAACGGCAATCACATACTTGTTATGCCTTGAAAACATCCGCCAACAATTAAAAATCTAGACACCTGATACAAATAGCATAGAACCGAGTAGTACCTGGTATAAGGAACACGTGTTCATTTCAACCAATAAAACCTACCATAAGTCGGCTCAATCCACACCATCTTATTTATTTAATGTCCATTATCATCCCATACATACTGGTAAAAGTTAACCTGTCTTAAAATCAAATACTTCTGTTAAAACTGTGTTCTGAAACCTTTTTAATGCATATTCTAATGGCAAAATAATCTCCTCACATAACGATGAAAGTCAATATTTTTTGGATTAAAATTTTAACTATTTATGCTAGCTGATGTCACAAACCAAAAATCTTAACACAAGTAATCTATTCAGAAGAACTGGCATCCTGGGTCCGCAGTCACGATAAATCAGAAAACTCTCCAGCTTCAAAGTCGAGAAGCATACAGGGGATGGAATACATGCCACTTACCTCAGAATGTAATATCTGTGGGATAAATACAAAATTAAGTAAACAAAGTTTCCTTTTCCCCCATGAAACAATATGACATACCTGTGAGCCAGTGTCACTCACTGATTCTAAATGTGGGTGTCTGTGCTATGGGTGATAACTGGCTATTCATCTCCGCGGCCCGCATCTGCACCACCACTGCTAATCCTGCCCACCTTGGAGTCTTGATAATGACGACCTGAGGATCGATGAGTTGGTGAGGAATGGCGACCATAATCTCCATTCAAACCTAAAGAATGTCGAGATGTTTTACAGCATAAGATTACTACTGTCAAAAGAATTCACAAAAAATCTGGTGTAGTCTTGTAAGTAGTTATCAATGTTCTGTATAAATGTACTACCTCAGTAAAGATGGAGGCAATATATTACATGGCATTAGAAACTAGACAACCACAATCCACATTTTCACCACCATGAAAACCTCAAATCTCACTCACAGAAACGCTAAGATTAATTATAATGTAGCTCTGATACAATATTGGTATTCAATCTGCACTAAGAGCAACAGGAAAAAAAGTTCAACATCAGCAAAACATTTATGACACTTGAAAAAATGGAAGCCCTCATGAAAACAAACATGTCTGGGATTCAAACTATAAAACAAATTTAATGTTTTGCAAGAAAAGTGCCCATTTAAAATTCATTAAATCAACTGCAATTCCAAAATTCTTATGCAACTTACAATATGAATGAGGTCTAACGGAAGAGGAGAATTAAGGAGGCCATGGACCGAATACGGATCAGAGAGCCATAGAAGAAGAAGAAGAAGAATCACAACTAACAGCTGCTACAATGATCATTTGGAATAAAAAATGTGAACGTTTCTTCCAATTCAATATTGTTTTTGTGTTAATGCATGTTTATATTTACAACAGTTTTGCATGGAAACATATTTCAGAATTGAAATATAAGACAATGCTTTACTGATTACAGTAATTATACCACTAACCACAAATTATTATATTTCAATAAAAACATTCTAATCTCTTACCCCGATCCTTGTTAGACCTCCGATGATGCTCCCTATCATGTTCATCCCCTCCTTTTCGTCTATGATCTCGATTTTGATCTCTTGACTTACTGCGGCTATTACGAGATGTGGAAAAAATTAACATTAAATGTATTATACAATGAAACTTTTCTTGACAGCATAAAACTAACAATTATTCCAATGGCATATAACCTTAAGTTCCATTCACTGTGGGTCTTCCCCATCTTACACACAATGATTTTAGTCATTCAGTCTTTTATAGTGATGGAGTTTTAGTATAAATAGTGTTTCCTAGAACTGCATTCTATAGTATGGATTAATAAAAGTGGTTGTCTCAGGGTAACGAACTAAACTGTCATATAAAATGTTTGATCCTTGGTCAGTCAATGTGCAGAGATACAGAATTGGTCACATGGATGTCACCACCTTATAAATAAATTGTAGATATACAAAGGGTCAGAAGAGGCATTAAAAAATTAAAAATCCGTGGCGTAACAGCTCCATAGAGCCAAAGCCGACTAGCTTGACTGCTGGCCACACGTTCACATGCCTAAGCAGAGGAGAACGATCATCCAACCAGATATAGGGTGACATGTGGTCAGCACGACGAACCCCCAGCCATTGCTAGTTTTCCTGACCGGATTACGCTACCCATTGTAGCTCCCCAATTTCCTCATGATGCAGGGTTGGCACCGGTCCCATACACCAGTCAAAAGCTCATGAGAAAATTTCTTTTCGCCCCCCAAGACTCGAACCAGCGCGCATTCCGTATTGCCGGTCCAAAGCATGATGCCTCAGACCACGCGGCTACGGCGCCGGACCTCTTGTGGGCATTATAAACCAATAAATAACATGAACTAATGTGCATTTTCACTTAGTACCAAATATTCATTACTTTAGGTATGGTTCACATAAACTTGTTAGATCCATAAACAGTACAAGAAATTTGCATATACATTATATATCCTTTTCAGAATATATCTCGATGCTAAGAATAAGTCAACTGTGACCAGACTTATGGCAAAGAGCTTATACAATCATTTTAATTAGAAAGTTCTAAGACATTTGTAAAAATAATTCAGAAGTAATCTTGGCAATAAGGTAGAATGACATACCAATTATAACAGAGTACCTACTGCCACCATCAGCCAAGAGAACAAAGTAAAAGAAAGAGATTGAAGCATTATTTTAAAAAAAAAATCACTGACAATAAGTTTAACAAGCCTGTTTACTCACGTTCCTCTTTCCTCACAACTCTTTGCATTCCTTCTATTGTATTCCTTTTCCCGGCTGTTTCTCCTTGTGCGACTGCGACTACGACTGGAACTGCGATACATCCTGGGACTTCTTGATCTGTGTTTTGGCCGGTTTTTGTTTCGTTCTTCTTCTTCTCTTTTCTTTCTACGCTCTTCTCTCTCCCGGTCTCTTTCTCGCTCTCTTTTACGCTCTTCTTCTTCTCGCAAACGTGTGCGCTCCCGACGATCTTCTTCTCTTTTCCGCTCCTTGTCATCGCGCGACTTCTGGCGATTATTCTTTAAGAGAGAAAACTGGTTTAGATGGGGAAACCTGGTAACATGATTATATAAACTGGACTGTAGACAAAAAACATAACAACCTTCTTGCAGTATACAGCATGCTGCTGCCAGCGGTAGCTACTTAACACACTTAAAAAAGCGTAAAAGTAGAGAGGTGTGCTATAAAAGTTATGAATGTGACCTCCAATTCCCACTAAGCTTCATGAAAATGTGTTCTTTCTATAAATCAAGGCATTTATGAGCTCCACAAATATCAAATATACACACATCACGCAACACCTGACAAGGCTGTTTGCCTTTCCTACCTAAAATGCACTTTCCTACAGTAAAATAATTCACTACAAGTACATTCAAATTATGGAAGAAATGGACTTACAATCAATTCTTCCATGGCCATCTTCAATCTAGCATAACCAACATGTTGTTTACCCATCAAGTGGTCATCTATTCGTTGTTGGGCATCACCAACAATGAGAAATGCCCCACATACATCACAGACTTCCATTTGTTTCTCTTGAGCAGCAGCTAGTTCTGCAGTCTTAAAAATTAAGTGATAAGTTGTAAAACACCACAGAATTACTTCAAAACATTTGTAAGCAATGCATGAATAAAGAAATCAGAATGCATCTTTCATAGCACAGGTTCATTCAGAAGCAATCTGAATTTATGGCCTGCGCATTCCCAAACTATCTCAGGTCAGAGACATATCTGCTCAAAATGGAACCAGACATAAACTACAATCAATAAGGACAAAAGATATCTCAACAGTTCTTTGTTTTGTGTGTTCTGTTGAGTATTAAATTAATTATTTAAGTAAAGTAATAACTTGATGACCTTTGGTGATAGTCTGATGGCAATTAACTCTGAACAACTGTCAAATTTTGCATGAAGACAAATAAAAATTAAGTAAAACATTTATTTTATACACTAACAATTACAAATACAGTGATGGCAGAAACCTCAAAAGTTATATCTTTCAAATTTATCATATCAGTACTTACAATCTGTACCAACCAAAACTGTGAACTGAAACGGTCTCTGTAATTATATGGCCACGTCTGTTACTCATAACATAATGGGTTACACAAAAAGGAACACATCAACTTGTGATGGTACCTTTAAAAAACAGCAGAAGCTGTAGTTCTTCCTTTCCTTAATTTCTTTATGTATCATGAGGATTTCCTCACACAATAATTATTCTGAAGTTACATAAAATTATACCTGCTGCCAGTGGCTGTTTTCATTGTTACCACGCAACTGCTCTCTCTCCTCTTTCAGTTGATCACACAGCTTCATGAGACCCTGAGCCTGCTCCACATTTCCTTGGATTCCCATCTGTTCTGCCTCATCTACCAAACTGTTAATTTTCTCTGTTAAAAATTTGATCTGCTCCTCATTTCTTTGGGTTTGGGCTGGTGAAAGTGATATCTGTAATAAATAAACATCAACCAGGGAAAATAATGAGAAATTATTAAATTTCCAATAAAATTAAACCCATGTTAGATTAACAATCGTAAAGTAGCTAATAGGAACATGACTGCCTTCTGACTTGTTTCACTGAAAAAGCATGTAGTGTATCAGCCTAGTTTATGTGTGGGTACACACCAAATCCCTTGTTATAATTTTTCAAATTTAAATAATAACCAATAATGTTTGAAGGAACCTTCTAAGACATAAAGACTTGAGCACATTCTATCTTTGACACAAGGGAAGCAGAAAGTGATAAAGGAATGGTAGGAACAGTGAAACAAAGACAGCTACACACTTTGTACAGAATTTTATCAATGTCTTTTAATATAGTCAAGTCAGTTAACAATTTTAAATCATGATCTTCAAAGTCAAATATACTGTCAACCTGGAAGTAATATCTCAGGTCAAGAGAGTATGCAAATTAAATCTATTTAAACTCATTAATTAAATGTCTGTAAAAGACGTTATCCCAACTCAGTAAATAAAATGAAATGGTTTGCATGCAACATTATCACATACAAAACAGACACATGTGAGTACTAGTTATATAGTTTCTGAACTGTGAAAGACAACGTACAAGTTTAAAAATAACGAAACAACCAATACAATCCACTGGAAAATTCATCTAGCGAAAATAAATAAACAAATACATACAAAGCACTGCTGAATCAAAAACTGCCTTGGAAAATGAACTGGGGGGGGAACCTATAAACAATTTCCTATCAGAATCAAAACATTGTGTATGCATGCAGAAATGCAACTCTGAGAGGAGGAACAAGACCAGTTTCTTTTAATTTTAGGAAGAATGTACAAAAGCATGCAGTTCCAAACCCTAATAACTACATCTTAAAATGAGGAAGCAATGATACTTACAGCATCAGCTTTTCCAATAAGGGCAAGCCGCTGTTTGCCTTTGACAATTTTTCTTTCCACTTCATTTAACATACTCTGGCAGAATCGAATAAATTCGTCTTCATACTGTTGTTTTTTATAACTATTGGATTTTTCGTATAGAGCTTTAACCTCATCGTCGTGAACCTTGGCACACTGTCCTAGGTCTGCTCTCGTATTTACAAAAAGGTCGTGAGGGCAAAATTTCACCATGTATAGCTTGCAATACTGAAACACAACACAATTACAAATCAACAACTCATTCATTTGCTTTCTTTCACCACCACAATGTTAACAGATAAAACAGAATATTACAATTACCTCAGGATCTTCCCAATTCAACTCTTTCGCTTTATCATTAGGCGCAATATTTCTATTTCTGCCCATAAGCTCATCGAGCAACGCCGCAGCTGCAAACACAGCCATTTTCTCAAGCTTTTGCCTCTTTTGTTGCTTCTTGCTTGGTATCGCTCAGTATCACGGATCTCGAACAAAACCAGCAACAGGATATGGCGTCTTGGGCCGAATCACAGATGATACAGAAAATATGAGCAGATTCTAAAAAATAATGTGCAAATTCTATTATCTTGTATATAGGTCTCTGCTGGGTTGTGTAAAAGTTCCCATTCGCAGTTTTGACGTAAATAGGTCTATATGAAAGGGTTATTCCGCAGAAAAGTGACAGAAAAATGTGTAAGATCCGTATCAACAAATCGACAACAATGGTTAATGGAACGAAGTGTTTACTCGGCATTGTTGTTACCTAGGAAAACGTGTAAGATCCATATCAACAATGTGTAAATATGGACCGACAACAATGGTCAGCTTGCGTGCATTATGTTACCTAGGAAACGTCATGTTTACTCGGCATTGTTGTGTTACATTAGAGTAGAATAGAGTTTATTTACATTTCATAGATCCTTCTTAGGACTCAACCAGAGGATGTAGAATATGTCATTACATACAATATACATACACTTCAGAACTTTCAACACAAGTACAAGAACGTATTTCACATATCAATGTACATAAATTTCAGATTCTGCAATACAAGTATGAAAAATAATTTTACAAATTAATATACATAAACCTCAGAATTTTAAATATAAATACAAAACTTGCTTTACATATACGTAGATTATGGATATAAAGCTTAAACATTTTCAGCAGAGATGAAATCATCTACAAAATAGGAGTGAGTACATTACTGCCGTCAACAATCCGCAGAGAGTAGAGTAGAGTTTATTTACATTCCATAGATCCTTCTTAGGACTCAACCAAAGGATGTAGAACGTGTCATTTCATACAATATACATACACTTCACAACTTTCAACACGCTTTCGTAACAAGATGGATGACATTGAAGATAACATTACATTACTTTACTTTCTTTTCTTTACATTACATTACAGAGACGTAAATATAATTTAAATACAGATACGTATTTACGTCAAATTCTCCGGAACCGTGGTTCCACTTTTTTATGGTGGAAACCATAAGCCACGCAAGTCTAGTAGAGTACTATAACATGACTATATTTCATAGCTCCAGATTCAGTGGCATTGAACAGAGATTAGAAGACCAACTGCATATTTTTCTGCATCGTGCTACAATTCCTATTTTTTCTTGTGCCAGTGTAGTTGAACAATGGTCGATGTAGATCACAAAACGGACATATGAGATGTGATGTGTGTACAATTTGCTGTGTGCAAGTGCAGTTGACGTGTCAACCAAATGCACCCAAGAATTGACACGAATACAGACTTACACATGCGGTGTGTTCAAATAACTACGATGTAGTGTTATATAAACGGTGGTTGTTGGTTAGGTTTAGTATTCACTGTTCTACATGTCTCAAGATTCCGACGGTGGTGAAATGATGTCACTAAGGGAATGGAGACAAGCCATTCGAACACCTGTAGGGAACAGAACTTTAAGAATTCAAACACAGTTTGTTAGTCTGGTTGCCTTTATTGGCTTAGTAGTGTTGTTCCTGGTGTATACATATGCTGTAGATCATCATTCCAATCCCAGTGTAGAGGCTGTTAAAAATAAGTCCACTGTCAAACTGTACATGCCAATTGTGACAACTTCCAGTCATAATAATTATAATACTACATATCCATTGACAACACCAAAAAGAACATCTAAAGGAATCCAGTTTCGCATAGGAATGGTTAGTGATTTGGACAAAGAATCCAAAAGTAAAACTGAAGAGTTTATGTGGCTAAGTTACTATAAGAAGGGGTACCTATTATGGAATCCTCTTTCAAACAGCATTAAAGTATCATGGGATACAGGTGACCCAATTGTATTGAAATCAAGACTTGGAGAGTCTGGTCGAGGAATGGAGCTCTCAGAACTTGTAGTATTTAATGGAAAGCTGTATGTTCTTGATGACAGGACAGGAATTGTTTATGAATTACTTGATGACAGAGTTATACCATTTGTTATACTCAATGATGGGGATGGAAGGATGAATAAAGGTTGGTTACTCATTATTTGAGTGTTTTATACTTGTTTCACATTTTTTACATTTTATTGTATCAGTTGTGATATTTTATATCTTCTGGTAAGCTCTTGATTAGCAATATGTCTAATGAAACTGCCAGTGAACAATATTTGGCATAGAAACTTACAGGACTAGATGCAGTTAATCTTCTTTTCTGTCACAATTATTCCAAAAGGTAATCATGAACATGGTACAGATTAATATAGTAAGTTAGGAACAGTTCATACATTTTAAACCAAAATATTTTAGCTGTAATACTAAATTTGAGTAAAATAAATCCTGAGTAACATTTGAAGTTACTGATCAATTCAATTTTTTTCGCATAAGAATTTACCTCAACCAAAAATTCTCAGCTATTATAGATACATGTAAGCAGTAGTGGTTATGCTTGTGTAATTATTTTTGCAGTACTGCAGCTGACTGTAAAAGACTGACATAACTAATGTAATTTATATTTGTATTAGAAACAAATATTGTATTTATGCTGTGACATGTTCTACATCCTTGGCTTGGGCCTACAAAAGATCTATGGGATGTAAAGAAATTATATTCTGTTCTGTTCTAAAGATATTTTGCTAGAATGGGAAATATGCATTACAGGTTTCAAGTCAGAATGGGCTACTGTGAAACAGAGGAAGTTGTTTATTGGAGGTCTGGGGAAGGAGTGGACAACCAACACTGGAGAAGCTGTGAACACACATCCGCAGTGGATCAAGACTGTCGCTTCGACAGGAGAAGTAGAACATCATAATTGGTTTCACAAATATCTTTCAGTCAGAAGAGTTCTTGGAATTGAATTTCCTGGTTTGTTCTTTTTAAGATATATGCATATGGTACTAACATTAAAAATACATACTGAAGAAGTGAAGAGTCAGAGAAATGACATTACAAGCTACAAAAATGTTGAGAATGGTTGTAGGATACACGACAAATCCATCATTTTAATGCAGTGCACTGCAGAATATGTTACAGTACCTGTTTTGACTATTTACATTCTTAAAACTTATCAATACCTCATCAGAAAGAAACAAAAGACAATTGTCATTCAAGATATCCACTACCCACCAGTTCTTCAAACCACTTATAAATTCCAAATTCTTATTTATATATTTTTATATCAATCCTGTTACACAGAAGTATTCCATCAATGTAATTTTATATAGTGGGATATTTCTGTCAAAACCTTCACAGTGAAAGCTGTATGATATGAAAATCCTTCAATGAACACCATACTTAGTTTTAGCATCCTAATGCTGCCTTGAGTAGAATCAAGTATTCTGTATATGTTATGAGGACATTACCCAAAATTGTCACTTTTAGACGTGTCCAGGAAAACTGCAGAATGTCCAGAAGTTTGTGTTAAACATGGTTGGACTGTGATCTGCCCAGTCATATCTGGATTTGACAAAACTGAATCTGGAAAATCAATAAAATCTGTGTTTTAAAAATAGATTTTTAACAAATGTTTGCAGAGTGCATCAAATATTAAGCTCCATTCTGTCATGTGTAATTGCCCAATAATTCTTCATTACATCTATACAGTATTTACATTTTTCATAGGTTACATTACACATGAAGCAGTGGTATGGAGTGATGTCCACGATTGTTGGTTTTTCCTTCCACGGCGATGTTCAAAAGAGCGTTATAATGATGTGCTTGATGAAACTAGGGGTTGCAATGTCATGATCACAACAGATGATACATTCACAGACATCAAGGTATGTTATTGCCTTCACATTTCTGAAAGTATTGAAGCAAAGACAGAGTCAAATTTACACCCATTTTCATGTCAGTTTTTCTTTTGCATGTAAATGGAAAATGTATTCCATAAACTTCCTTTCATGTTACATGTGTAAAGTAAAATAAAATAAAAGTTTCTGGTGTCTTTTTACATTTGGCCTGTGCGGTATTACTTAGCTTTTTGTTCTCTTTTAATTAACTACAAAGGGAAAAGATCTTGAATTCAATGAGACATAAATAATATCAGTATTTGTATCCTGTCAGTCATATCTGATTTCAGAGAGAGTCGCCATCGTCTCTAAAAATACAAATACAACTCAGCAAATGAAGTCATACAGCCAAGGGTTTCGTACTGCCATAACTTTAAAACAATTACAGTAGAGACCCAATTATCCGACCTAAATGCGACTGAAGGATAGTCGGATAATCAGAAATGTCAGGGAAGTATGATTCATTCTGCTACATGCTGAGTTGACCTGATGAAACAGAGTATTCTGACATGGTACGTTGGACGAAATGCAGACGTCAGATAACTAAAGGTCGGATAATTAGGACTGTATTGTACATGTATGCACATGCTTTCACCCTCAAATTGTAGATCTATAGGAATACTTGCAAGGCATATTTACCTTATTCCTCTTGGGAGCCAGTTCAGTGGTATATTTTAGATCAAAAGTTACTGTAACATTTCATGGCTTTCTAGCCAAAGACTGAGATTTATGATGTTATGTATCTCAGAACTGTTAACTGTATGCATTACCACGTAAAAGAGGACTCTCAAGGGTATTAATATTGGAGTTACAGCTTTAGGCAGTGCAAAGTACATGGACATCACAACTAAACTTATAAATACTCAGTTTTTTAATGTAAATACTCTTTTTGATAATGGAATAATCGCTGTTTACACTGAGAATCATAAGAACCACATGAATGAAATATGTGGGTAAAACAAAGTTATTGAACGTTAAAGCAGGTGGTACATATAATTACCATTCAGCCTGAAGTGTTGAATAACGGGCCGTACAGAGCAGACACGTTTGATGTGTACCTAAAGACGGCGACACAGCTTTAGAGTGGTATGTAATGTATGTCACTCGGAATGTTTGGAAAGCAAATAAAATATGACGATAATGCATCCTTAATTTCTCAATATTTTCATTGTTTACTATAATAGATACACATCTATTATCATACATTCACTATTGTTCACTGCATCCAGTTTTGATACACTGAACATGCAATTACATTTTAATTCAGTTCATTTTTGGATATTTCCATCTGAAACTTTAAGTTATTTTTCATGTTCACAAAATTCTTGACAACATCAAAATGCAATTTAAGACATTTGCCAGTTTCTCGAATATCGTCCATACTGTCCACAAAACTTTGAGTCACATGGCATATCGATATACTTCCCATATCGTCTTTGTTATCGAAAATCATCTTGTATCGATATTTTGCTGAATTTTCCCTTGGGCCTATATATTGCAGTACTCCATAGAGAGTACCGTTCTTTACTGAGAAATATCGATAGAATATTTCACCGTAAGCGAATATGATGTAGCAGTACCTTCGAGCAGGCTTGATGTCTACCAAGCCAGTCATAAATTTTCCCTTGTATTCGTATGTCCATTCTTTGTGCGAATTTGTGAGATGCTTCTTCAAGTCTTGCAGATTTCCACCCCAAGAACAGTTGACTGCAGGCACCTTGAAAATGTCAAAATAATAAGAGCACCTCAGTTGTAGAAAAACATGAGTGTGTGAACTGAAATATCCTCTTGATTGCCCTCACCCCAAAAAAGTTTGTGTCCATTACATAAAAGGGCGGATTTATAACTTGTGTTGGGCAAGGCCGTGGATTAGGCAACACGGAGTTTTCCTCCGTGGCATCCCCACAATTACTCCATTCACACACAGAAGAAGGCAATGGCAAACCACTTCTGGATCATCTGCCAAGAACGTATATGAACAGGTCCCAGTCCGAGAAAAGGATGGAAGGATTCTGTTCATATGGACCTGTCGTCAGACAGAACACTAAATAAAATAAAATAAATAAATAAATAAAACACTTCTGTGGCCTATTTTCATTCTCAGTAAATGCCAGGTGACAATAATTTAAGAATATTTTAAAGAAAATTTCTAAGAAAAAATGTATAGTCTCATTAACAAAAATTACTTACGGTGAAACAGATATAACTCTGGATTATATCAGCTGAATGACACGCCAGATATAATGAAAGCTGTAAAAGTAGAAAGACTGAGGTGACTGGGGACACCTCTCCTTCGAGAAGACAGCTAGCTGGCATCGAATTGGAATCTGCAGAATGTAGGAAAGTACGCTTTGGAGGAACATCATTGAGGAGGTCAATGCCTGTACTGAGTTATCTTAAACATTTCAGCAGTTTTGTATGTATCCATGTCATAGATCTAATTTATCATATGTACTTTCTAATAGCATTAACTTCATCACCTGTGTTTAATATGTTACAGGTTCTTCGTGTTGGAAACATAATTCCTACACATGGATTTTCTAGTTTCAAATTCATCCCTGGAAGCTCAGATCAAGTTATTGTTGCTCTGAGATCTGAAGAAGACAAGGGTGCCACTGCAACATATATTATAGGTTTTGATATTACAGGAAAAATTTTGCTACCTGAAACAAAAGTAGCAGATAAAAAGTATGAAGGATTTGAATTTATATGAAGTGAAACTAGTAAAATTTTAATGATTTAATTTTCTCATGGCTACAAGTGTGAAGATGGTTGACTTCTGGATTGCAGCGCTGTGTAGTCTGGTATAAGTTCACCAACGTTTCAGAGATACTTTCTGCTTCCATCATCAGGGCAGTGACCTCTGAAATGTTGGTAAACATATACCAGACTACAGAGCACAATCCAGAAGACAGCCATCTTCATAGTAATTTTTTGAAAATCAAAAAACTTATTTTGTACATAAGTATTTCATACAAAGGGAAAATTATTAACACTCAGATATAAACAGCTGACAATGGCTTAATCATTTATAAGAAATTGTTATGTTACAATTATTGGTTAATTGGTAAATGTTCTGTAAAAAATTTGCCCACAGTTTTAAATCTGTTTTCAGACAAACTAAATATATTTTCTAAGTTCCTAAGAATAAATTATAATCTTAACTTATATGAAAATCTGGCCCATGTTTCTGTGCATCCAATAAATAAAATACATATTTTACAAAAAAATTGCATACCACATACATTTAATTATGTTTATTTTATTATTACTAGTTTTATTCATTATTTCATTGTGTCTTGAAATGAGTATAGTATATTGCAACTATATTATTAAGTGGGAATGTTTTAAGTACTTTCAGTAAATTCCATGTAACATCATCCATTTTCAGAATTGCGTAAATTACTGAATTAGGCAAGCATAATCTCGTATATTCCCATTTTGAGTAAATATATATTATACTAAATTTAAAATATTTTAGTGGTGTTCACTATAGGTAGAGACCTGGAGAAAATCTCAGGTCTGAGTCTGGTCTTGTCCAGTGCAGATTTTACAGCATCTTTCCCTTACCTCCACATAGACCCCTCTGATGGACATCATTCTCCCGTTGGAAATAGCAGTCTGCCTTACAGGAACCCTCAACTCAAAGGCAGGCAGAGTCTACGAATCAGCTGCATAAACTGTGTGGTTACTGGAAGCTGAAATCAGTGATATTTTCCCACAGTGTCTCACTTGTTGTAGTGTGTAAATTATGTTCACAGAGAAATTTTTGACGTAAATACGTCTATAAGGAAGGGTCATTCGGCAAAAAAGTGTAACAATTTTTACTTAGGGAACGTCGTCTGTTTACTCGGCATTATTGTTACCTACGAAACGTCATCTGTTTACTCAGCATTATTGTTACCTAGGAAACGTCATCTGTTTACTTAGCATTGTTGTTACCTAGGAAACGTTACATTACATTTCATTACATTACATTCATCTACCACAGACCCATCTTAAGCGTAACTAATTCAAAACTTATCTCAATTGTAAAGCATGTATAAAGGAAATATTTAGAATAAAGCCAAAATATAAAATTCCTTTCCGTATAGACGTATTTACGTCAAATTCTCCGGGACCGTGGTTCCACTGACAACTTTTTTATCCCAGCATTTCATACCTCATGAGCTCTACTGCCCATGAGAGAAGTGAATAAATGTGGCCTGAAGGACAGGAGAAGGGATTATAAAATGTCAGTCCCATCCTAGCTCCTCTCTTGCAAATTTCTGACATAGCAGGAACAATCCACAGACACTAAACTGTGTTGACACTTCATGCCAATGACAGATACAAATAACCAAGAAAGCAAACAAGCAGCACCTGATATTTTCCCTTTAGAGCAATATTCATTGTGCATGCTCAGTGCCTCATTCCACGTTCACCTCAGCAGTGTCACGCTTCAAGCTCACATCTATTCTTTCCTCTCATCACAGTAGATACAGTCTACAACCTTGGCTTTTGTAGATGAGCCACATCCAATGTTAAAAGTTATCCAGTGTTTCAGCAAACATTGCATTTAACATTCAACATGAAGATGGCAACTGTAATGTTTGCTGAAACACTGGATAACTTTCGGCATTCGACGAAAGGTAGATACTGTGGTTACCTGATGGTTTTTGAACCTCTGAGGGTACACATTATTTTTAGGGGTTTGACACAAAATGTTTAATTGGCGGGTTTTGGAGTGATGAAGTTCAGGTACTGATATGTGTGTATACATATGAAACATACACACAGATCAGTATGAATTATAGGAATGTTACTTGGAAGAGTTCAGAGTATTTTCAGTATATTATGGTCTTGTCCTGCAGTCTGGTGATGAGACATGAACATATTTACTTTTCTCTGTTTATGTACAGACACCTCTCCTTAACTTACATCAAACACATCTTTTGTTTCTGAAATTTTGATAGCAGTGAACATGTTGGTTGTGGCACCAGTCTTGTAGATGGTTACTAGTATCTTGGAGGAACATATTGCTCCTTTAAAACATTGGTACACTACAAAGCAAAAAATCAAGAAGACCATTATGTTTTACTTCATGATATTTATGGTTTTGCCCAATGAATTAAAATTTTCAGCATCATAGATCAGATTCTAACATATCCCATTTAATTTAAACTCTTCCTTGTGTTCTTGGCAATACTGCAGCTCCTTTTTTTATTCATAACTTGATTTAGTGATACCATCAAATACATGGTTATAGATATTTTGCAGTAATTACATATTAAGTATTGAACTTCCCTCTTAAGAAATCCAGCCATCACTGTCATACATTAGGCTTTTTAGCCTGTTAAAGTTCCAAATGGAATTCTTTAAGATTTTATTTTAAGAGCTGTTTAAATGTGATTGTCAAAGTGTTAAAACTAGTCTAATTTGTAAAATATAATTACAAAGTATTATAACTGACCTCGGTCACATTTAGGGGTGTCCTTTGGATTTAATATGCCAAGTATTTTTCAGTAGCAGAAATATTTCTGTCTCTGACAAGGTAACTTGCTTTTATTAGGCAAGGATCTGATATCTGTTTGTTTCAACCTTAATCATGTTCCTGTTTACAAGAGTAAGTTGCAGTTCCAGGCCACCAACCACACCTGATATGAAAATAAAAATTTAATTACATTTTAAAATCAGGTTTGCCTTTTAATTTTGTAATCCCCTTAGTTTGTCTGAAATTTTTTTTTAAATATATTATGGTTCTTTCAGAGATTTAAAGTATTGTGTTATTATTATGTATTTTCAAAATATTTGTATGTAATTAAAATATTTATTTTGTATATTAAAACTTTATTAGCTTCTAATTTATAAAAACTTTTGTGGTGCCTTATTGTATAACATTATGTTACTGATATTAAATTATTTAATTACTGAAGATGAGTGCTTGCATTTTGACCCTCCTTCAAACACTGATGGTTGCATCATCTATTTCAATGTGTACAATGTATTTAAGTGTCTCTATAAAGAGGTAGCTATTCGCAAATATTAGTTGGTGTTTGCTGTAAATTGTGGTATGTTCAGTCACAAAGCTGACGCAGTACAGCGAGATATGAAGTAGCCCAAAAGATGATAGCATAGAGAATTCAGTAAACAGTTAACTGAATTTTATGTTCCTTTTTCCCTTTGCTACGTATCTTGGTTGTGGGCATTTTATTCTTATGAAATATCACCTGTCTGTCATGAAAATCATACCACTTCTAAAAATAGAATATTTTACCCATTCAGATATTTATATACATACATCTTTGTTACATTCCATGGACCCATAAGATAGATGGCAATAGGATGTGGAAAAAGTGTGTTGTCTGAGTGGGTGATGGCAATGTCGCAAGTTTTTCACATGGCCCTCAAGTGATTGATAGGGTGTACCACTTATAATGTAACCCAACAACAGTCACCTTGGTTGATAACCCACTCCTCATTCAAAGAATCAACAAAGCTTAGAGGAACTGAAACACAATATTGTACATACTGTTGTCAATACTGATACAGAAAAACTTCACTGAGATGCATGAAACATGCTAAAAGGGGTGGATAGTTGTATTTCAGAAGGTGGTGGGCATTTTAGCATCTGATGTAAAGCTCTTATGCAAGTTCTTTAAGCAAATAAAACAACTTATATTGATGCCACCAAAGGTTGTGAATACTGTTGTAGTTAGGGCCACAATGTCCTCTAGCATGATTTTACTGTATCTGAAAATTGACAACTATAACCTAAAAATTTGGTAATATAAGAAATAACTTTAATACATGCTTATTTATGATCTACCTCAAATTACGTATGCATAACTTACGCCAAAAGGACGATAAAATGTTTCCTTGGCAGTTCTGCATACTGTAAGGTGGTAACCAAAGATTAAATGCGTAGACTCTGGCTGTGTAGTCTCTCGTCTGCCTTCTCTTTAGGGTGATAACTATAATCACACATGACTATAGGTATACTAAATTTTGGATTAGGTGCGCAAAATCTTGAGCACATAAATTATGTCTTGGGTACAACCGAACATAACACTGGAATGATTCGATTGTTTGGGACAGGTAGTACTAACATAAATCGGAAACTATCGAGTAATTGATGAGAAGAATCGAGTGAATGTGCAGAATACTGAATTTATTATTCAGTACAGGGTTAACCTTCCTGCCACACAACTCGAATATTATAAAACAATAGAATGATTGGATTCGAGCAATCGATTCTCCTTGAAGCGACGTAGAGGGGCCATTTCAGCTGCTTTCTTTTCAAATGATTGATTAGATTTATTGATTACTATGACCTTTCTAAACACTGCAAATACCAATATGTGTATGTGTTTCATTCTGTAGTTTAAAATAATTTGATAATACATCTCGTATCATTTATGAATGTACAATGTATACTTGAATATAACCACTTTTAATACAAAATCGCTTCATATTTAATGTTTTTCTCATTCAAAAATAAACCCACAGCAAAATGTGTAATTTACAAAATATGGCAATTCGTACATATCAAATTACAGTCCAGTTTCTTGTTTACCCTTTTAAGATACCTAAGAAAGCTGTGTACCAAAGTTATGCACCATATAAAAAGTCCTGTGGCATTTTGTTTAATGAACAGTTTGTTCCCATCACTATAATATTGACTGAAGGGGTATCTTCTAAATTGTTAGCATTATAACAATTGACAAACTACTTGGTGCGTGAGCGACAGTTACGGGCACCACGTAAAGGACGTCCTGGCCACTCCTTGCTAAAAACGTCTCTCACGTTTCAGTTTTCCGTAGAAATTCAATACGTGCAGTCGAGCCCATCGTCAAATGCTTTCAATTACTAGTACAATCGCTCCAATTTCTAAGAATTTTACATCACCTACACGCCAAGTTGCCGATTAGTGCAGACATGGGAGTCAATTCTCGACGTAATCATTTGCTGCCAATACCCCGTTATTAATACATTTTATTTTGAAATTAACCATCCCAATGTCAACATTTTGAGCACAAAGGATTTCACTCGCCGAAAATATATAATTACGACAAAAATTAGCACGAAAAATTATATTTTGCAAAGTGCGTGAAAATGAATTAATACACCACATATTATTATTGTTACCCCGAAGCAAATGTGGGTGGAATATCTGCAGCTTTAAATTAACCAGTTTTGATAGGTTACTTTGAGAAAAGTGATCGACAGTAATACACATTTTTAAACACCACCTTAACTGGCAGAATTGATTTTTGTTTGCACTGCCCTGTTTGGTAGCAGATTCCTTGTGCTGGGGAAGGGGAGAATAACGAATGGGCCTGATAACGGCTCAGGGCATGAAAGAGGAAAGGGACTGTGTGGGCATTAAGAGACTACAGAAAACAACTAGTTACAATTTCTGAGAACATTTAATGTAACCATGTTAATGATTCTACAGGGAATAGCACATTACTTCCTTGAGGTGAGTACATGAAGGTCATTAAAACATCTAGGGCATTATGAATTAACTCACTATTATACATGTTTATTGCTGTATATAATCAGCACATCTTATGCCCAACTCTGTAGAGATTTCAGCATTGTCTCACTGAAAATGAGATTAAATATTTGTGTATAATTTATCAACATTTATTATTTGTATTAATATTCTATTAATTTTTTAAACAGAGAATGATTTACATAAAATGAAATTCTGCATTTACATCTGAGAGTTTTAAACGTAGCCAACACAATGCAGGAGACTAATGGCAAGACAGATTATGACTGGCATCTGGCAAGAGAAGGTATTCAGCTCCTCCTTAACAATAAGATAACTGAGGCTGAACAACTCTTTGGGGAACGAAAAGATAATGTCCAGATGGCAGCTGGATATTGTTTTGTAACATTCATGGTAAGCAAGGTTCCTAATTAACATAAGCCATGTACATGACCCACTTCAGATTATATCAAAATAGTAGAATATGAGGTTTTCACAGCAGTGTGTCTGAAGATGGCTGTCTTCTTATAACAAAATACTTTCAGTATGTAATCTGGTACACCAGTCCTATGGTACATTATCTTTAGTATATTTATGCAGCACTCTTAATGCATGTATCAGTAATGGCTGAATAAAAATTGCTGTTGGATTTAATTTTGTTTTATAGTTGTTCTGTATTTATCACTGCTCGTATAACAGTTTATATGTTCGCGTATCTTTTGTTTCATATTTCATTTGTCACAAAATAGAAAGTGACGAAAACATAAAAAGCTACAAAGATCATTTACCTTAATTTGAGCGTGGGTATGCATTTATTTCAGAACGCGCTAATGACGTTTGAAGATGATAAACTTCAAGAATCTCTACAAACACTGCGTGATATGGAAAAGAGGTGTGCCCAAGATATAGGCTGGCTGAAAGCAGTAAGAAACAAAATGTTTGGAAGTGATAACTCATTGGTGAGTTTTCAATATATATTAAGAGTAGTTTAAATTTAATTTCCTGGAGTTCTTGGCATTAACTTTCTTAAACCACAAAATAAAATGAACTGAAACCGAAATTAGGAACATGGTAACAGTTGTTGAAGTAGGATTTGAACACGCATCTCCTGTTTCTTAGAGAGATGCTGTTTACATTTAAGTCATAAGATCACTAATTGTTTGTGTGTTGCCTTTACATGAAATGTATTTCTTTACACAAGGCATATCCCACAGAAAAACCTTGTTAGCATTTGTGCTTCTGTTTTTGTTATAAATTTCTATTAAAAAGGGATAAAAATGAGCTCATATGATGTACCAAAGACAGTGTATAGAGTCAGCAAAAAGGCTAAGAAAAATAAAGCAACTGTAAAACAGAGTTGTAGAGAGAGGAAATGCATTGTAGATTGGTGGAAGTTGTGCAATTGGTAATGAAGAATTTCAAAATACTTAATCTGTGAAAAAAGGGAATTTATTTAACAATGCTGCCAGTTACTTAAATTATATTGTGTTGATCGCTAACAATTAGTGAACAGTAAATTGGAAAGGATATGGAAGGAAGTGGTTCCAATTGAATGGCATAATTTTTACCTTTTAGGAACGGGCTCAAGCAGAGAAGCTGGAAGAGCAGATTATCTTAGCAGACTCACAAGTGTGTGTTGCCCTTCTTACATTCCTCCAGCAAGACCTCACCAGCTATGTTAAAGGGGGGTGGGTCCTTCGTAAGGCCTGGAAAGTATATCAGCATACTTATTCCCAAATTCTGCAGCTCTACAGAAAAACATTTGGTTACGATGATGTTCCAGGTATGTCATGCGTTATGCATTCGACCCGTAGTAACGTCTGCACTCAATTGTCGTGCCTGAAGATTCAAGAACTGTAATTTCTATCCCTTTAAACAAATATTATATTGAAGCAGAAGGTGTTACTTTGGCCCTTCAAATTTTAAAATGTATGGATAATAAAAAGAAATTTTTAAAATCATACTTGTTTGCCAAATTTAGACTTAATGCAACTGGTATGTTGGTCTACATTCTAAAAACAAATTACAGTAACAGAAAGGTATATATTTTTCAAATTTTCCTATATAAAGTGGCACTAGCATGATCATGTGGAAATTATGATGAAAAATCTACTTGGCTGCTCTAAATTGAACAAATCTAATTTTGAAGATGGCTGTCTTCTGGGTTGTAGCGCCTTGTCATTTACATGATGATGGAGGCGGCACAGACCTCTGAAACCCCGGTAAACTTCTACCAGACTACACGGTGCTGCAACCCAGAAGACAGCAATGTTCATGAAGATTTCTGTCTTCTGGGTTGTTGCGCTGTGTAGTCTGGTCTATGTTAACCAACTTTTCAGAGGTCATACTGCCTCCATCATCAGGGCGATGAGTATGAAGATTTCTGTCTTCTGTTGACGGAGGCAGTATGACCTCCGAAACGTTGGTAAACATCGACCAGACTACACAGCGCCACAACCCAGAAGACAGAAATCTTCATACTCACCGCTGTGAAAACCTCAAATCTTACAAAACAGCAATGTTCATGCTTGCTGCGTTTAATATCAATAATGTCTTACATGTTTACTTAGGTTCTCAGTTTCCATCATGGAAGGTTATTACTCGTGGTCCCAGTAATCCAAACCTGCAGAGTCCGACATCTGAATGGTCTGTTCCATCTTGCAACATTTCAGCTCCGACACCAAGTGGAAGTACTACACCTAATGGAAGAAGTAATGGCTTCCGCAATCCATTTTCCATTCTATCTTCATTCAGTTTACATTCAGATGGTAATTCAAAGTAAGTACTGTTACTTTTCCTATATTACAAGTAATATAAAATGATGGCTTACGGCATGAACTGCCGTTGCATATGAAGTGGAGGAACCCCGGTGTTGCACCTGGAAGAGTAAATAACACAGCCATAAACACAAGACAATAGACAATAGTCGTATTAGTAATTTTTTGGGGAGGAATAAGTTCAGTTTAAGCAATTTGGACCTAAGACATGAAATGACAAAAGACTGGAAACAATTAGGTACTGACAAGCTTCATAATTTGTACTTTATGTAACACTATTATAATGTGACAGCTTCTTTCAGATGTAAACAGATTACAGAAGGTTACATTACTGAACTCTTATTTCCAGATTCTGCATCTTAAGGTGAACATGACAATAAGTAGTGTAAAAAAATAAAATGATAAAAATTCAAATTTATTTTTGCAACCAAAGCATTTTGTACTAACAGAAATTATGCAGCAGAACAGCTAATAATATTGACTTATGCAACGAAGATACCTAAATTACTTGAAAAGCATATTGAACTATATTTTGCCCCTCAGTGATACTCTTTCTTTTATAGTGACAGTGCACCCCCCGAAGTCGTATCAAGATTAATGTCAGCAGTCAGTTTTGGTTATGGAATCTTCCAACTTTGCATTTCTCTTCTCCCTCCTTCATTGCTCAAGTTGATCCACTTCCTTGGATTTGAGGGTGACCGTCAAGTGGGCATTGCAGCTCTCATGTTTGCTCGTCAAGGTCATGATATGAGGGCACCGTTAGCATCGTAAGTTAATCGTTAAACATTCACAATATTTAGAGAAATTATTTCTCTAATTTAGTGTTACGTATGTTTAATGCCATATGTATGAATGGTAAGAGGTAATGGTACGGTTTTATGAATGGTAAGCTTATTGACTATGTTGGTCACTCTTTTGAGATATGTGAAATTTGGACCAAATTACTCTAACTTTGTAGATGGAAGAACCACATCAGACAAGTCTAGTATGCACATTTACTGGCTGAAAGTTTGAGTTTCAACAGTAAATTATATGCTTAAGACAGGAGAATAGATTTGTGTGTGTGTGTTCTCCATTAAAATCACATTTTTATTACAATTCTTTTGTTTTTTAATATTATTTATGTTGTATCTTGCATTGATTTATATTCAGAATGCAACAAAGTTGAATTTACTTTACTGTATCCTGTTAGGTAACCCATCTTAGTATGCTGGTCCTAACTGTACGATAAACTTAAAAGAAGACCGTTATTTGTGAAAACTTGAACTTCCTCATGACTAAACACTCCAACTTTGGAAAATCCTAGTCTTGAACTTGTATATACTGGAGACAATTCAGCTGTAATATCACTACGTTATCTTTTAATAAGTTTCTAATATTTTTTCTCCAGAGTCAACTCTGTGGATGCTAGTATAAACTGCTTGTAATTACGCATTTATATAATGCCTCTAAACAAAACTTAAAATGAAAGGGATTACTTTAACAAGCAGTGCAAATTAAAAATAACACGTTAGTTCACTAAAATAACGCCATATGGAACATGGATAATAGTCCTGTAATTCATCTGATTCACCAAACTCATATTGGCAGGTTGGCTCTCCTGTGGTATCACACCATTGTCCGTCCATTCTTTGCCCTGGATGGGTCCAATGTCCAAGCAGGGGTAGAAGCAGCACAGAATCTGATAAGAGAATCTCAACCAGACTTTGGACAATCAGCACTGTTCCTATTCTTTAAAGGCCGTGTTGAAAGGCTTAAGGTAAGATGGTGCAGATTTGAACAGGGTATATCTTTGAAGGGACTGAAGCAGACCACAGACTGGTGAGAAGCAGGTAAGAGTTAGGTTGAACTTGCATTTGATGAATTAAAAAGGATTGTGCAGGAAAACATTATGGATGCTCAATAACTGGCCAAAGGATGCTATTGCAGCTGCTATAAAAGATGATTAAGCACGCTACTATAAACATGTGTGAGATTCATGTTTAAACATTAAGATAAGCTGGTACAGAGGTCATGTTTGTCTTTTGTATTGCCTGCATCAACCTCTGAGTTCGTCTGAAAAATTTCTAAGCTGTCAAATATGTTAACAGAGTTAATATGTTTTTGATAAAGGTGGGAACTGTAACATTCGTGACGACACTACAATTCATTTTGGCAAAAATAATCTGCAGATTACATCTAGAATCCTCTTGATGAATGTTATGTCCTTTCTGAGCAAATTTTCACTAGGTGCATTTCCAGTAGCTGCCTTTCTTCAGTACCTGCAATCATAATAGAATGTTCTTTCTTTTTGTCTTTCTATGGTTCACCTGCCATTTCTCCCACGACACATTTATTTCAATTTAACAGAACTGAAAGATTCAACATCATTAATATCAAAGTCAACCACTCAATATGATCCTGATCTAGATCCATCACACTACAGTTCCCACAACACATATCCCTGAAAATTGTGCTATTATTTATTCTCTCTTTATTAATATATTATTTACATTAACCAATGTCAGATTTTAATGAGGTGTTACTGGAACCATTTTGATCACGTGTGACTGCATACGATTCCTTAACTTGGATCCAACCTAGCACAACCTATGTTTGCAGTCTAATATTGATGATGCCATTGAAGCATACCAGGCAGCAGTGGTGAAATCTCCACAAAGAGAAATTCAGCTGCTGTGTTTACATGAAGTTGGATGGTGTCATCTGATTCAACTGGACTGGAATCAGGCACATCAATGTTTCTTACAGCTCAAACTTAGGTCACGATGGTCGAAGAGCTTCTATACTTACCTCGCTGCAGGTATGTTTCAAAGTATGTATTTAGTGATTAAGTAGGATTTGAGGTTTTCATGGCGGTGAGACATCCATCTATTTCGTTGTTATTTTAAATAAACATGCAAGAGTAAATGATAAAATGTGTTTAGTGAATTTCCAGAACCTTTATCCACAGACGCAATAAACAGAATTAAAGTTACTGGTTCAACTAGCTGATGACACGTAGTACCATTAGAAATACTTGATAATAAAAATATTTACGTTAAATGAGAATTAAATTGTTCGCAGATATTAACATCTGAAATTAACATATCTTCGGAAAAATAATTATGTAAAGATCAATTGGTTTAAATTTATTCATGTTTGGAAAGCATGAAAGAGTTAAAAAAAAACATTCCTGAAAACTAAAACAACCTGTTGTTACTTCTGAAACTTGCCCCATATGGAATGGTTAATCGTGCCATGATTCTATAAAAGTAAAGCTGTCCCACTATACACCATGGTGGCACTTCGGAGGAGGCAGTTAGCTCCTACACATTCTTGACCTTGGCACTGCATAGAGATGAGTGGCCGGCGTCACGCTTTAACCCAGGGAAAGGAACCCGTTAGACCGGAGACTGGGTGGGCCCTGGAGCCAGTTAGGATGCCGAGACTAGAAAAAACTTTTGCCCTTGCTGAGGATCAAACCGCGGTCATCTAGTCTGTAGGCAAACACTGTACTGACCGAGTTACCTGGATCATACAATAATTCTGTAAGAAGTCTTTATTTTTAATAACATACTGTGCCAAAGGGAGGTGACAGTGCAATACCATTTTGTCTGGTACTCCATGCATACTTTATTATCTAAAAAACTTTAAAAAATAAAATGAATAGACTCAATATTGCAAAACTATGTATCAGTGGCCTGTTTCACCTTAGAGTGGATAATTAATTCCTTTTTTTTCCCAAATAATATAATCATTATCACATCCATGCAATAAAGGAATGCGAGATTAATGAAAGGAAGAGACATCTATTGGAGAGGGATGCTTATTTAACACTGACCTTCAAGTATTGCATCAGTTTGTACAGGGGCATCTGGCAATCTGAATGAAGCAATCAGGTTAACACAAGAAGTAGCTGAATTGTCAGCATCATCACAGCAACGCAACACCCAGTTGGAAACGTTTATCTTGAGGAGAATTAATCGTTTTCCTGGGGAACAAGACAGTGAAAAATTTGACCACACCTACTACAGACTTTTGGCCTTTGAACTCCTCTTCCTGTGGAATGCTCTCCCATCTTGCAGTATTCAGCACATAAATAATCTCTTGGAAGGTACTCAACAGGCTTACTTTTATATCTCTGTAAGCTACGGTTAGAAATAGTATCTACTTACCAAACACAACTTATGTACATTCAACAAATCTGGAAGTTGCTAGATGAATACAGCAAAGGACATTTTCACTTATTTTCATTTGATTTAAGATAAAATTATATTCCATCCATCCAATGGCTCTGCAGCCCATATCGGGCCTTGGCCTCCTCCCATATGGGAGGTTTCTTGGTCTAAAATTATATTAACTATAATAATACTATAACATCAGTTTAAAATCCCTATATTACTTCTCACATATGTCAGAATAATTTTTAGACCTTCAAATGCATTGTGTAGAAAGTTTTCTATACTTTATTTAACATACAGACTGTCAGTCAGCTAGTCAGGATCCCATGGTGGGTCTCCACCACCTTGTCATGGGGGCTGCTCAGTGCTGTCTGGGACTCCATGAAGAAGCAGTAGCCAGCTTCCGGACCTGTCTTGCGAAGCGAGGTGAATTAGAAACTTGTGAAATTGGAGGAGGGATGACAGGACAAACTGCAACAGGAGACCATCACATTTCAGCCTTTGCCCTTTATGAACTCGGTATCCTGCTGTGTAAAAATCCTAAAGTGAGTACAGTCATCTCAGACATGTTTACTAAAGTAACAGTGACGTGGGAAAGTTCACTAATCAAATAAATTATAGTAAGCATTTTTTCTTAACACATTGGATTTCAACAAGGTTCTGCTTGTTTCTGAAATAAGAAAGAGTACTTCTGAAGACTTCGTAAGCTCTAAACCATCCATTTAAATCATGGATGTTATATATACAGAACATATACAAACTTAATTACTGTTCTTTGGTTTTGCATATGAATGGCAAAATTTGCTTTTTAGAGCCGTACTTCAAAATAACATTAGAAACATATATCTGTGACTAAAAGGTTGAGATAATCAGGAAAACATTGAGTGAGACTTCTGCACACATGACTGCTTGTTATTAGTGCAAAGTAGGTTAATTTGCACAAAAGCAAATTGATTGATACAATTGTTAATTAAATTAGGAAATGTATACACAGTGTAACAGTTCTGGTAAATTTGTCAGAATTTGACCTTTGCAAGGTGAAGTCTGGTGTCTGCCTATCAGATGATGTTATCACAGAGGATTACTGGGGGGATCCCCCCCACATGGCTGCACAGCTGGCAAAAGTACTAGCTTATTCTTCTTTGATATACATATTTTGTCTTTGTTTCAGACTGCTGAGGAAGGAAAGATATTACTTCTTCAAGCTGAAACTAATTACAAAGGTTATGACTTTGAGAATCGCTTAAACGTCCGTATCCACGCAGCGCTGAGGAACATTGTATAATATGGACAACTCTAGTATCTGCTACATTCACTTTAGATATAATTATTTTAAGGTTCGTGTACTTCAGAGGTATTGTATCTCGATAGGTATGTTTGATAAAAATTACATATTATCGCAAGGTGGGGTATACTTTCTTTTTAAGTAAAATGTGGCAGTGACATTTTACCTAATTTTTATATATAGTATTTAAGACTGTTCAAGTGGAATAACTTAAAATCACACTGTTTATTTGCAAAACAAAATTAAAGAGGTAGTCTTATGGAACAGAATAACGTGCACGTATATGAGCAAATCATGAAAAATAATATTTCTGTGGTCCATGTATCACACTCTGTGCGTGTGCATGTACCTGGGAAGATTAATACTAAATGTTTTATAAAAATGAAAGTTAAAATAAATTAAAGAGTAGCTTGAGCTTAAATAACTAGCCTACATAATGATGATACTTTCATATTTTATACTACTTAATATATAATATACAGGCCTACTTAAATCAAAGGCTAATTATATATATAAATTTAGAAAAGTTCAGACTATAATCTAACTGACAATACGTGTGTTCATAGGTTGCAAACATATTTGTAACATTGATAAAACTCGAATGGTAGGTGTTATAAACCCTTTCAACATTTAACAGAAACATTTGCTTATAAAATCTAGTACATAAATTATAACATATGTAAGTACCCCAAATGAAATTAATCGTTTATGAATTCAATACTGCAGAGATTTTGAAGTTATTTTTTGAAAGCCTTGTGGCTATAAAAAATGGTATGTTTTTTTCTCTTTCTATGAATAGTATCATTATGTCTGATATTTATAAAGGATTACTACCCTATTAATTTCAGGAACTCTCAGTATTATTACAAATTTGTGATCCATCTGAAAGAAATATCAATGTAAACAGATGTTCAATGTATAAAATGCAAGCAGTGGGATTTGAGGAAGGGAGGCAGAAGGGGTTGTACTGATTTCCATTTCATGATAAATTTTATAAACAGCTTCATTTGGGAAATATTTCAAAGCATCATCATATACAAGCACATAACATTTATATATTGTACATAGTTACACTATCCTCTTTTCCACTGCTTAATCATCATTTCTCACCCTCCTTATGATAAGTGCATTCCAATTTTGTGCACACAATATTTAGCTCAGCACTGTATATATTGATGGTTGATATATATAAAAAGATTGTGATCATTTTTGTAACAAACTGTAACAATGTATAATCAAGTAACAAAAGTTTGCCACTAAACATTTTATTATGCTATGATTTGGATGACACTGGTGAAAGGTGTATGAAGGTGGATGACTGGCGTCTTCAAGGAAATTAAAAAAATGCAGGTATCAAGATCTGAGTGGTATAATGGGTCCAAAGAGAAGATGATAAGTCACAGAGAAAAGGTGTCTGATTATCAGAATGCAGTAAGAAAGTTAAATAAATGTGAAACATATTTCTATTCTAAAATGCAAGAAAAATATTAAAGAAAAAAGCCACGTAACTTCCCACTGGATTTTAGCAGACACTTTGATAGTTCAAAAGCTGAAAAGTACATACTGCAATGTTACATGCACAGTATTACATGAGGCAAGGAATATTTTATTGTCTTATGCTGATTTTAACATGTAATCACATACATTAAATAAAATTTGAACTGTGAGATTTATATACATAAAACAAATTTATATTTCCCTGACTTATTTAAATGTTACAGTAATTTAATCATTCTGGCATTATTCCTAAGAATAACGTCAATTTCTTACATTACTGTCTGAAATAATTATATTATACAATCACTCAGATCTCTTTTAGGAACAGTATGAAATTTTGTCACTTTAATACAAAGTAACAAATTGATTTACACACTTTGTATTATGATCTGGAAACTGTCTCACTAAACAATTCAAAGGATACTGCTGCAACAAGATACATCTAAACCTTACAGCAATGTAGAACAAAAGAAAATATTTGTGTTCAAAGCCACACTTCAAGCTTTTGTTACAGACCACTTTTATTTAATTTTAAATAAGTACTTACTGATAGAAATATGTAAATCTCAAACAAGTGAATCTTCAACAATTTTATGTCTTCTAAATCAATTAAATTAAATGTAAAACAATTATAAATTCGATGCCATGAGCAATAACAATAATACTTTAAAAATATAACGTGTATGTACAAACAAAACAATTATCTATATATCTAGAATGCAAACTAATTTGTGACCAGATCTTTCTAACAATATTTAACATCTATAACATATACCAAATTCTATTCACTTCTAAAGAAGTCCCACCATTGGCCCAAGCTTTGTTATGACTCTGGAGTGAATTTCACTACCACCCACAGCAGTGCCCCTTACTGAGATAACATACGTACATACGTGTAAGGTAACAGTAAAGTTGTCCTTCATACTTTGTAAGCACCATGTTATGAAGATGTAGGGATAATAGACCTTGACCTCAGCAATAGATGTACGTGAGTAGCCAGCTTTACAAACCAGGAAAAAGGGCCCCTCATACCCATTGGATAGGAGGCTGGGTAGGCCCCAATGCTACCTGGATGCAGAGGTTAGAAGAAACATTATTACCCTTGCCAGGAATTGAAACTTAATTGTCCAGCCCATAGTCACTCATTGCACTGAGGTACTCTTCTATATACCTATATGTGTGTAAAATAATGATGCTACATAACCTTTGTACTGCTGATAAATAAACAAAAAAGAACACAAATTATTACCACAAATCAGACATCTGAATAATTCAGTCAACATGAGTACAGTAATAATCATTCTCTTCTAACCGCTGTTGAAAGAATTTAATTCAAATTTAGGCAACTGAAAATTCAAATTTCACGTCTTCTGTCAAATGTCTGCAAAATCCTAGAAACTTTGTGACAAGTGTCCAAAATCCCACAAGCACAATTTTTTTATAATATGACAGCTTTCATACTGCCTCCGTCATCAGGGCGATGACGGAGGCAGTATGACCTCTGAAACGTTGATAAACATCGACCAGACTACACAGCGCAACAACCCAGAAGACAGAAATCTTCATCACCCTGATGACAGAGGCAGTACGACCTCTGAAACGTTGGTTAACAGCGACCAGACTACACAGCGCAACAACCCAGAAGACAGAAATCTTCATCACCCTGATGACAGAGGCAGTACGACCTCTGAAACGTTGGTTAACAGCGACCAGACTACACAGCGCAACAACCCAGAAGACAGAAATCTTCATAATTCTTAGTACTACAATCGTACGTAGTCTGGTTATACAGACTCCACTGTACCAGAAATATCTCACTTCCCTTTACAGAGTCCTTTGAATCATGTTAAGTCCTCTACTTACTGTCAAATACAGAAAGGGAAAAAGTCACTCCAGATCCATATTAAACCTTAATCCTGTACAAAAAATATATATAAAAGCCATGTGATGTGTCTCAAGGCAGGTAAAACTAAATAGGAATGTTGCTTATTTCAGGAGTAAAAATTGTGTCACATCTTATCTCAACTATAACCACATCTTCGCACCTAATATACAAAATGAAGCTGACATATTGTTACATTAATTACAGCAATAATAAATAAAGTACTGCTTCATCAGTTATAGAATCTCAGTACAAGTTCCTGCTTCTGTATCAATATAATGTTAAATCCTCCTTCTTATGTAACATCTCACAGAGTATTCAAATTATCAAGTGATATCATCAGAACATAACGCTTGCAATTTCATGAAGGCAAAAAATGATAGTTTTCATATTTGCACTTGGTATCAAATCAGGTACCTGGGTACTAAATTTAAACTTGACCTTAAATTCATAATTAAAAATGTTTAGATATACGTAATAGAATAAACAAGTGATAATACATGATGCCGTACTTTCATACCTTTAGTAAAAGAGACATTCCCGAAAGCAAATTCCAAGATACTTGCTATTTACTTGTCAGACATAAGAAATCTTACCACTACATTTAAATTAAAGATATGAAAGTACCACTTACAATTTTGTTATTTTCCACATGACCAGTATTATGCTGATAAACATCAGCCTTGTATATTACGTACCGACAAATTGTACACCAGTTACAAAAAATGGTAAATTACCAAGCAGTTTTAAAATTTATCTGCTCATAAACCTTTCAAATTATGACAATTTCAAATTTATTTTTCTCAACTGCTTTGCTATAGTGATACAGCATTATTTTCAAATTTAGACACAACTGTAAGTTCAATACATTTTATTTATACCATATTAATTTTAGTTTTGGATCGGACTTCCTTCCATTAGTTTTTGAATGTCAGATCAAAAAAAAAAAAAAAAGCTACAGTCATTATTTCCCTTTCTGTCATGAAATGTATAATGTGCAACTTCTCTAAACCATGCTTTCACATGTCTTCCATTCTGCATTTGCACAAACTATGATACCTTGCTCACTTAACCAAAAAACCTACACATGTGATGTACTTGTTATGAGAACATTGATTAGAAGATTCATCCACAGTATATCACTTGTAATCTGAATTTAGGAAAGGCAGACATATGCCATAATCTAGTATTTACAACTGTTTGGATATACTGCATTAGCAAAAGACTAGACACCCCAATTTTAAAAGATATATTCCGGACATTTCGCACAGTTTTGTGAAGGCTCTGTATGAGTAAAATCAACAAGGTATCAGTTACATTTAAATTCTCTATTATGACATGACACACTGGAACCTTAATTATCACTATAATAACAAGAATAAATTAGTACTTTAACCTCCTGACGAAGAACGACAACTTTCCCTCATCCATACAACACTAACACTGGTCCATTGCACTTCCATCTCATTTCTTTCAAACTGATTCCTTTGAAACAATTTTAAAATGTTAAACTGACTTTCATTCTCCAAAACCTCTTGTACAATTCTGAAATAATTAAAAATGCATGGTACAGTTGTTAAAACCAAATACGGCGCTGTTCGGCATATGAATTATAATGCCAAATACTTACCTGTGTCTGTAAATTCTCTGTGCTTCTGTTTATATCCTCTACAAATATCTACATTACATAAATTTGAAATTCTACCAAGAACTCATATATACAGATAAAAATATATATCAAATTTAAATTTCTACTTTCATAACATCACCTTCAGCTATGGAATGTTCAGTGATACGATGCCAAAAAGGAGGCTCAATCTTATACAAATTGTTTTGGTCTTACTGATGCATGCTAGCAGCAAGATCAAGCTGGAATTGCTACAACCATCACCCACATCTAAATTCCATATTTATTTGTATATCTACTTCACAGCATCAAACACTACACAATAACAGATGGTCAAATTGGTGATGTGCAATCATACTACAAAAAAACAGGCAAAATACTATTAATAAATAAATATGTACGTGGAAAGATGTGACATTAATTTGAATGAAGGAGGGAGTACTTGCTCAATTCTTATACACTACTGCAGAATAATTGAACACTATCTGATACAGAGTTACACTTTACAATCCTCTGATGTGTTACAGAGTTGAGAACTTTTGTTATAGGTAAATGCATTTTATGAGATTCAATCAGCTCAGATTTATATAAAATATCTAACTGATAAGAAACAACATGTATGAATGACGGACATCAACAGATTATAAAACACATGAATAGAAGGAAGACAAATATGAAAGATGACTGATCAGATGGAATAAAACCGTAACATTCCACACAGCCTAACACCTAACAGGACTATAATCATGATGATAAAAACTATCCTAACATAAAAAAGTAAGGCTCAACACTGACCACTGGATAGATGTCGAACAATATAAATACAGAAGCATTTTTGTCACTTGAGCGTCACTGTAAACATCTAACAGGTTATGTTTTTAAACTGAAATTCCTAAGCATTTTGAGAGCGTATATGAAGCAATGAGAATGCGGAATGTCATAAAAAATTTCAATATAAATTTCAGCAACCAACACAAGCAGTTGTCAGTGCATTAGCACAGGCAAGTGGGACTGTTTTGTATCATCACACATAAGATAGTAAGTAAAGTTTGTCCCGCTACGTGCCGTACAGGCGCTTGGGGTAAGTGGAGGTATAGCTCCTCTCTTTCTCTACCTTGGCACTAGATGGGGGGTGAGTGGTCAGCATCACGCCCCGGCCGGCTTTACCCCCTACCCATTGTAGAGGAGGCTGGGTGGGCCCCAGAGCCAGTCTGGACGCAGAGGCTAGAGGAAAATCCTTTACCCCCATCGGGGATCGAACCCCGGCCGTCCAGCCCATAGCTAGTCACTATACTGACTGAGCTATCCCGGTTCATGACATAAGATAGTATTGGAGTTAAAAACAGTTTCATAGCTGTACTTCAACTCATTACAAATTTAATTCTTCTAGTTTCCACACATAACATTCATACTTTAATTTTAAGCCTTCTGAGGCACAAACAAAAAACATAATTTGAGTTTCCTATGGGAATTTTGCAAAAAGAATGTGATTTTCATTGTTTATAAAATTAAAAGGAAGCCCTATTGTTAATTTGAAACTTCAGAAATAAGAAAAGTCTCATTAACTATTATGCAAATAGATTAAGAAGTAATAGTATGATTTAGACTATCTATTCATATGAGAAAAAATGGAAGTCTTAAGAGCAATTGGTGCATATATATATAGCATTATTTTGTAACATTTTTCCTTTGGAAAGGAACAGCCCTTAAAAGGAAGTTCTGTGTGATGTAACCTTCAAATGTCATGTAAATGCAGTTAAGTAAAACCTTTCTAAAATATCAAACTCTTGTAGCTATTAAGGAATGTGATACATTTCCGGCAGTAGAATGCCAACTATTACACATCTGTTCAAGAACCACCCACTGATTCCTGTCCTGTGCCACGGCCTATTTCTCTAAGATTCATTTTAATACCATCCTCCCATCTACATCTGTCCAAATTAAACAAAATGAATGTCTTAAAACTTCAGTCTACACGCACCTGTGATATAAATGCCACTTGACACACGACGATGAATTCTCTTCTTTTAAAAACAGCCATAAAGACAGTTGGATAATCTCAGTAGGTGTTAGACTCAACATAATGGCACTAATTATCTACAGTATTCTTATTAAGTAATACAAATGAATATTCATTCAACGCACATTTCATAAAGAAACACCTACAACAGTGTTTTGTCATCTTATCACCAGATCAGCTACTAGTATTAAATAAATGAAGAACAACGTTAAACAGGTAGGAACAAGGTGTTCTAAACTACTATAAAATTATTGTTATCTGGAATTTGGCACATATATTCCTATAAATGCCAGCTTAAAACCAACATTTAATTTGTGGCTTGATGAGTCAGTTCATTTGACATCCCACTTCATTCAGTCAATGCAGAATAGATGACAGGTACCTACCAGTTCTCGGGACACCAACAGAATTTCACTCACTGAATTAAAATTCACATCATGCCACCATGAGCTTCCTCAGCTGCTACCGAACTTTTAAGGAACACTGACCAACATATCTCTTCATGAGTATTCATTTCTCAGAAGATGGGGTAGTACCATTTACAGGATGTTGCAGATTCTTATCTGGCAAGCATTTGGCGACTGTCGGCTGAATTAGTTGCCAAACGTCCGCCATCTACAAGTACATACAACTTAATTACACGCGACTCATAAAGTAACGAGTGTTTTATGAAAACTAAATAATGTACAAACAAATAAGAAAAATCAGCCATTAACATCATATTATTACACTTTTATTTGTATTACTAAACTTTAACCTTTCCCAGAGGGTATCTTTTATTTGTAAGCAGAATATTTTTTTATACAAATTAATTTCATTACAAAACATGCATCAAACTATTCAAAATGACTATAACTAAAATATATGTTACAAAATGCAGTTTTATCCTGTAAATTCTCCTTTTACCATCTACAAACTATGTGATGACACCTTCATATTCATAAATAACATGCTTTTAAAACTTGAAATGTTGTTAAACAAGGGACGATAAGACATCATTTTCAGAATTCTAAGTCACTCCAAACCAAATTAAAAACTTGCATAGTAATACTGTATACCTACCTGTAGATTCCAATAATGTCCTGAGCAGTCATAAAGGTAAAACATAAATATTAATTTTTGCAAATTCAATTTGAAAGACAATCTTCCAGAAACATTTTTCTTCTTATAACATACACATTAAATATTCCTATTCTGAGCATACCGTTTGAAGGCACTCCACCCTGCTTGTAAGATTAGAATTCTCTCAAATTTAATATAAAATAAATATTTTGGGAGAAATAACAAATGACACACAAACTTCATGTTAATTTGCTTAACAAACGTAAATGAAATTAGCTGAAAATGAAAGGACTGAGAAGTAAAATACTGACTGCAATAGACTTGAAAATTAGACAAAACTGAATACGTTAAGTGGGAAAACAGAACAGTAATTTTAAACATAATAAGACATCATTCTCAATAATTTGAAAGAATTGTTATAAACAAAAACTGTCAATTATTGTCATTTTATGCCATAATGCGCATTCAATTATTTAATCATTAAGAATACTGTACTCCCAGAATGGAGTGGGAGGAGCAGATGATGCAAGACACCCACACTAAGTGTCCTCTGGACACTTTACAGGCTACAACTCATGTTCAAAATATCCCACAAAACACGGATTCTCCAAAAAACAATATTCTGATGACAAATTAGCTCCCCATTAGATCTGTGGGCAAGACCACTTCAGGAGATCCTTACTTTCGTGATTTTCACAAACAAAAATATACATTTATAAAGCTATTAATAGCATTAAGGATTTTTGAAAAAACAATAAGACAATTATTAAACTGAATACTGACACACTTAGTAACATAGAAGCAAACCTTACATGTGATGAGATGAAATTCTTCATCGACTTCCAAGCCTCTAACATAAATTTACAATCTCAGCCTACGGCATTTTTAATAAAATTACGACATCATAAATTTTAGAAGCTTTCGTGGCAATTCCAAGTTATGTGCTATAACACTACGACCAAAAACGCCACTTTCATACTACGCTGTAAAACCATGAATGAAAAATCTATAAAGTTGGACCTCTTCTAGACCAATGGAAGTTTAAATAAAGCGTTTCACACCTGACGCATACATACCTCAGAATGTCCCCTAATCTGCACAGCGACAAGAGTTCCCAGTACGGCTGCCAGAATCTCTAAGTGTGCATGTACTAACTGTGTCTCCAGGTGGAGACAGTGTAGAGAGAATGCATTGCGGAGCTCAACATTAGCAATTACAGATTCCTGTTCCATCATCTTTGTCTCCAACTGTTCCACAGATTCAGCCTGAAAGAAAAGTACAGATACAGAGCATCAGAGCATATGCAATCATTCCACAAGAGATGCACATCACATTTCAAAAATATATATGTCTGAGAGTATAAGAAAATTACGAAAGTAAGGGGTGAAAAATGAATATCAAACAGCAACAAGAACTAGCCACCACCAAAAAAAATCAGTAGCTAATTAAACACCATATAGTTTGCTTAAACAACTCTGCTTAGAATATATATTATTTTGGGATAAAAAATGTATTATTTTTACATTAAATATCTCAAAAAAAAAGAAAAACTTTAAAGAACCCTCCCAAACAATCTGTAAGAATGCTGATAGAACAGCTGTCTACAGTTCAATGATTTATCTACAGAACAAAACATGAAAACCAAAACAATTTTCTCATGTAATTTTTTTTTCGATTTTGTCCGCCATCTAAATTATAAAATCACAAAACCACGTTTGATAAGCTGGATTCTGCTTCCATCTTCAGGTAAAGAAGAGAGAAGAGGGCAGAAAGCCAATCTGTAAAGGGACCCCTGGTTGAGTTAGCCTCAAACCCGAGCCTGTTACAATATCTTCATTGATATGGTCAATATCTTTACTTCTAAGGCATTAAATTGCTGCTCCAGACATATCTCACATTATTAAGGCAGCAGTGAACAAATCTGTTCTAAAACAACAATAGTAAAACCTAAATATGCATAAGATAATTTACCATTTATTATATGACACCTCTAAACTTTAATATTTCATGTAAAAAATTTCATTCTAACATGTATTCATATTTTTTGAGTAAGGAATTTCTTTAAAATTAAACATAACAAATATAAATCCTGTATTAATACTTTAAATTTCACATTGATTTCAACAGCCCATTCTGTAGTATTGTGGATAAATACGTACATCAGTTCCTCTAATAACTCCCTGCATCTGCCTCTTCTTCAGAGACAGCATCTTTGCTAAAGCCTTGTTGTGATCCTGTGAAACACCTTTTTCATGCCTCTCACAAAGTTCCCTGTGAGCCACCAAAATATCCAGCAAAAGGTTTAGCCTCTCACAGACTTCATCTTCTTCCCTTACAGCTTGCTGCAATGCTTTGTTTGACAAGAGACTAAATTCCCTGGAAATAAAACAAAACTTTGCTGGTAGGATTTGAGGTTTTCGTGGCAGTGAATATGAAAACGGCTGTCTTCTGGGATGTTAACAAATGGTCCTCGCTGCCTCCATCATTAGGTCAATAACCTCTTGACACACTGGTTAACTTCTACAAGACTACAGAACACTATGACCCAGAAGATGACTACTTTCAAGCTTTATTGGTCATTTATGTGATGTACTAATGTAGTACAAATATGTGCTCCACTAAAACACGGCATTTCAATTAATAACTTACATGAGATTACTTTACAATGACAGAAGATCAATTATCTTTCCTAAATTCAACCGCGTACAGTACTCAGTATTGACTGGACAATGGGTTACAAGTAAATGAGTTACAAAAAGCATTAATTTCTGGAGAACCTATTGTAGCAAAATGTCTTTATCTTCTTCTTGAAGTAGGGACGCAGGTCAGACCAAAGTGAAGGAGAATATAGGAAGGCCCAAAACAACATAAATAAATCAGATAAAGCCAAGTCGCAATGGGCTAAGAAAACAAAACGTGTTTCTTTGCAACAGCTGCAACTCACTTGGATATAATATGAAATCCTTTCTTCATGTCAGCCCAAACACTGTTACCACCTGTAGCCCAATTTGATGAACCATGTGGCTCATTCGCCAGGCTGGTTAGTTGGGATCCGAGCTCAGCCATATCAGCCGCATACCTGAATGGAAATAAGATCACATATCTGAAGTCTTTCTTCCACATTTAAAAAGTATACATCATTCAAAACAAGTGACCAATATTCTGTATCAGACATAAAATTCTGAATAAACATTTCCTGCTTATGACAACGTGCGGTTTGTAGTCTATCACTTCCAAAAGAAAATAAATAAATAGTTCATCAGAATTATGCAACAAATGCATTCATAACAAAGTATCACATAATGTAAATTTCTGAATATTCTCTGGTTATCAATTTTGTTGATGCTCCACATCTGGAAATTCAAAAACCTCCCCCTAGATGTCAATACACCATAAATGTTACTTTTATACAAAAAAAAAATTGGAATGGGAAAAATATGTACACTGGACAGCAGACAAAGGTAAAAAGAAGACTGCCAACATAACGCCTTACAGAAAAAAAATTTCAATTGAAAAATAATGCGTCTCAAAAAATAATCTTTTTTTAAACGAGAAACAACACACAGGGTTCTCCGTAAGAATAACAGAAGTAAATATCTGAAGTTCTGGAAAATACAACACACATGAAAGACAAACATCATAAAAAATAAATTCAAAAATTTCTTTCAGAAGTAAATACTATGCTAACACAACAAATACAAATAGCATTCTTTCAATACGGACAAAACGACATAGTACGATATTTTCTACTCCTGCTAAAAATGTAGCAAAAGTAGTTATCTACTTACCCATGTGACCTCAATGCCAAGACATCAGCAATTTGCTTGAGGCGAGATACGCCATTAAGTATAACTCTAATCTGGTCTCGACTGTTGGCAAATTCACTGTGCGTTTCAGGTGGTACCAATTCCTGGTGGAAAATTATGTACTGATTATTCAAGCTCGGCTCTCATCACAGAATTATATTCGAAATGTGATATACGTAGGTTTATACCTTCGCACGAGCTGCAAGCTCTGAAGTGGTGAATTCATCTGGCACCCTCCTAAATATTTCTCGGATCTTATGTTGAACGTCGGCTCCAGAGTACGTCAGGAAGAAACTAAGCAGTGGGTCCCCACTTAGTGCAGGATGACGAGCTACTAGCGTCAACCATCTTCTCAAGGATTTGCGTCGCTCTTCGATAAAGTGAGAATCCGCTGAAAGCGAATCATTCCAACATTCACTAGATAGAATTTTCTCAGTGAATAGCAGACGTATTACTAACAACGAATCAATTGCATTTAATGTACATTTTGCAAATGATAAAAGTTGCGTATACCTCCAACCATTTTCTTTGGTGGCAGCTTAGGAATGAGTCTGTATGGAAATCTCACAAGCAGTAGCTCATGAAGTGCCACAAAATCATTGTACCGCCTCCTCACAAGAGTACCAAATCTCTGTTAATAAAAACGTAAACTTCAATAATTACAAACCATAATAAGTGCTGACATTAGTATCATCCATGTTAATATTACATGCACACAGGACATGGAGAAAATGAGAAACATACAAAATTCTGTTTGGAAAGCCTGAAAGAAATATTCCTCAGAAGACCTAGGTACAGATGACAGGAAATTAAAATGGATCATAACAAATGGGATGAAACATAATGTATTGGGCTGAGCACGCTAAAGACAGGAACCAATGGCAGGCTCCTGTGAACACAATGAACCTACAAGTTACATAAAAGACCTGGGCGACTATAAGCTTCCCAAGAAGTACTCTGTTCATTTTATAACAAACAGTGACAAACACCTGGTGGGGCTTGAGTACCTCAGTGACCCCAAGAGCTATGCTGGCGGTAGCATAGCTACTGGTAGGGCCTCCCTTGCCAGATTGGTCGAGGGGAGAGGTCAGACTAACACAGGTACCCTGGTCCTCCAGGTTGGGAGTTGGTCACAAGGCTAACAACCTTGCACCGTAAAGAGGAAGATGTTTCGAAACCTCGATCAAAGCTTCGGACAGACGGACCTAACAAAGGAATGAATGGAAGTGAAGAATCGAGGAGGCCATGGACTGAATACGGAACGGAGAGCCATAGAAGAAGAAGTGACAAACACCCTATTAATGCTGTCTTCCCACACCAAAATTTCACCCCTATTATCCTGAAAAACACACAGATCTGCTATAGTATACATTACCTTGCTGGATACTTGATATTCTACATGTTTTAGAAAGAGTCCTTTCTTTTCAGGTACCAAGTCGACTTCTATCGTGTCAAACTGGCAGATGTCAGGATATCGTAAACCAAGCTGTGTTAGACTTGTCGTTCTCTCCGGTGCAAGATCTGATAAGTCACCAAGTTCAGGTCGAGGAAGCTCTACAATAAGCCAAAACAGAATCGGAATATAAATACACTCAAATTTAAGAAATGATATCACAATATGCTCCTAAGTTACATAACACCAGAAACTGGTTTCAAGCTCCTGCCCCATGGCTTGTACTGGTCAATCTTCCTATGCTTCCTGGCCCAACTGTCTACCTTTTTATCTTTATATAACCCACAAATATTCTAGCCCAACTTACTTCAACCTTGTAGATGAAAGCAACATGTTTCTCTAAAACACAAGATGATATGATGCACCAACTCAAATGATGACAAGCCGAACTCAAAATGCTGTCAAACCCCAAAAATTACACCCGTTACAAGCTGCCACAGAAAAGTATGATAACAACAAAAAGTCAAGCCTTAAATTGGTTAAAATAAAAAGATACAAACCCTCAAATTACAATACGAAAACTGCGAATATTATATTCCTACTCAAAGGAACCTACAGAATTATAAAGTACTTAACTTATTAACTCTAGAATCAGAACATACTTTGGCCAGACAGAACATTAATATTTGCTTACTTCATATTTAAACAATGGGTTGCATAAAATTAAAATAAAAATGCAGTGATTCAACTGATTAAACATTGGTACAGTAACTTCCAGCAATAAAAAAACTAGTAACTTTAATACTTGCCCTCCCCAGAAAAATTTTCTAGAAGTTTTGCACTTGGCTGTTTGCCCTGTTGTGCCCAAGCAACCAAGGCCAAAGCCTTGTACAAATTGCTTCGAGAAAGTGATCCTTGTTTTGTGTCAATGAGCTCCCAGATCTAAAAACATACAAAAAATTTTATAAGAAATACAATACTACTAAACTTAAAAAGAAAAATCCTCATATTCCTTATACGATGCTCAATCCTTTAATTAGAATATTTTGCTATTATCCGGGATTCCTACATGATGATTCTTTACATTAATTTTTAAATTCCAACATACATAATCAAATCTGTCAACAACACAGACACATAATCACTACATTCATCATAGCACTCCACAATAATCAGAATTTAAAAGTTTCATCAGGAAATTTAATTCACGTTTGCTAATAGGGAGGATCAACTTTATTTACTTTATATATGAAAAATCTAAAGAGCATTCAATCATAAATTAGATTCAACAGCTTAATAGCAGCACGTGACAAAGGCTTTAAAATAAATCATACTTACGTGTACATAAGTAGTAGCCAAATCAATTACTTAACATTCATGTAAATGCTCTCCTAGTAAGCTCATTTTCATATTTATATAAATCACATTTGCACACAAAGCATTATAAGATATAATGTTAAAGTTTGGAGAGCTGGCATGGAAAATGAAGACAGCAGTATTCCAAAGTTTAACTGCCATAGAACAGATTTCTCATATATGTTAAAGGTTAAAATATTGTCCACTGAAATGAATAGAGGAACACAGGAATAGCACAAAAAAAATATATATACAATTATTACACTAATGCAAGTACTTCATAATTGAACACATTCTCAACATGAAATTTACGTAGCCTTGGTATTAGAGAAAAATTATTATACAGATACAAATATTCCTACAACAAATTAGGCACATCAAATACAAATGTAAATATTTAAAATACTCAAGGGCATCACAAATGGGTGGAAAATCCACCACTGCAATGACACTAGAACACACAATGTTACATCCCTCAAATCCACCACTCAAAATACTCTCTGACTACTTACCGAACTTAATGTTTGAGATGGAAGCCCTGATTTGACAAGCAACTTGGTAAATAATTCCTTACTGACATTACTGGAAGTCGGTGAAATTATATTATAAACTTCACGATAATACGGAGGAACTGACCCTGAAACAGACAATAAAAATTACGATGTTTACCACAACCACAATTCCTGTAACACCTGCAGTATTCATAGAACTAACCCTAAAATCGTAATTACAATCAAAAGTTCCTCTATTGTGAAATCATTTTGTCAATTAAATATTACATAAGCAGCAATACTTATGGAAAAAAGTTTTAAATTCTTATTTATTCCGATATTACAATTATCTCCTAAAGCTAGCAATATACACTACCACACATGTTACAAAATACACATCAAAACATAGTCTAATCCACCCACCAAACGCAAGATCAGTCGCCATGTTTTGACACCTCACAAAAACGATTGCGCATCAAGTTGAGCTTCAGAGATTAACTGTGCTTCTGCTACTCGCAAATCGTGAGGGGTGTCGATTTCATTACTGTATTTCTTTGGTATTTCCACAGCTCCACATCTGAAAAAAAACTGATACATTTAAGTACAAAAATCGCCGTCATTTTCATTATGATGGTTTAAAGCATGTACACCAATTTCCCATAACGCACAGTATTCCAGGGGGTCCGAGGCGTGGGCCTTGTGCCGCTGGGACCATGGGTTCGAATCCCACTCAAGCCATGGATGTTTGTCCGCGTTTTTCTGTGTTGTCTGTCCTGTGCCGATCCCTCGTCCAAGGAGTCCTACCGAATGTCTATAGATCAAGTCAACGAAAAGTTTGGATCCGCAGTGCTCAGGCACTTGAAGAACGGGTCGTTCCCAGTATAACGACAGGGGTATACCTTTAATTTAATTTGTGATTAAAGCACATTTAAGCCATTTGTATTCCAGTCAATGAGTACGTAGCTTCAATGATTATTTTATGCTTTACGTTTCAATGCTTTATCAGGTGCGCGTTCTATATTGTCGAACACAAAATCCAAAAGGCGACACGACCTAGCACAATTTATTCATTACTAAGAATACGCAAACTACCTGTTCCGCCCGATTTTAGAATGCAAATAAATGTGCCGAATTGTAGAGGTCAAATTGGAAGAACTTTCACGCGCACTTTCCAGCTGTCCAGACTTCCACGTCAACAAATGTGTAATGTAGATCCATTCTATTATCACGAATAGGCATTTGGTAGCGTGCGTCAACCACCACTGTGTGTGTGTGTGTGTTTTTGCGTGTGCACACATTTTCTCATACCAGTCTCAATGGCATTACTGTACTTGCGATTTTCTTTAATTCTGTGTTTATGCAGTCATTGTGTATAGACTTTTTCTCTCAAGTTCATAGACTGAAAACTGTATTCCAAATCTTAATTTTCAGAATGCTCTGAGATGCTTTTCAGAAAGACCCTCAGTGTGTAATGAACAGGCTGGCAACACTTTCTGTGTGCCCCTAGTATCATTAATAACACACACTTGATTTGTGTTTTACAGTGACAGTAAAGTTTATCTGGGTTAGTACAAAGTTTGCAGTCACTTATATGGCAAAGATCAAGGTTGTTAACATTAAAAATCATGCTCACACATTTCTATTTACTCATTCTTTGTGGATACTTCATAACCCAGCCATCTTCAATGGAAGTCAGCCACTACCCACCATGTAAATCTTTGCTTAACTGCTTGTTATTCACCATACAAATGACTTAACCTCTATTCATTCAAAGCTGGGATGTCCCAAATATGATGCATATTTTTTAGAAACTTGTTACACATCTTTCGACTCAGTTCATTACAAGGCACTAGCGTCATTTCCACCTCACAAGTTACTGCATTTTGCGATGTTAATAGTAACTACAGGAATTAGTAAATTATGACAATGGTGAATCCTCTAAGGGCATAACATCCATACCAAATATCATCAAAATCTGTTCAACAAATACAAAGTTTAAACATGTGGACAGACACATACATGACAGACCTGTCTGTGTTCATTTTGTGCACATCATGCAAGGAACACATAATAAAGGTCTTCAATAATATCTTCTCACATCAGCCACATGAGACATCAACTCCTTGATGATGGCAGCAGAGACAGTCTCTGACACATGGAATTTCAACCGGCATTCCCACATGGCTGATTGCCTGACGGGGCTTCACTGCATTCAGTCGCCACGGAAGCTTCAAATCTTATACAAGATTTGCTGATAAGGAGGACATATTAATATGCTACATAATTGTGAAATATACATTAAAACACCAAAATTAATAAAAAAAATACTTTTATTACCTTCCACCTTGAAGGAGGCCATAGTTGATTAGATTTTTGGTTGCAAAGTAGAACATGCCATTTTCCACAAGCTCCCCATCCCAATCCTGGCGTCTGGGACGTCTCTTTGGGTTAAAGTTTAATGGTTCAATTCCACCATCTGAGAAGAAAATTTGAAATAAATGTAAACATTAAGAAACGTATTGCCATAAAACAGCACTGCTACAAGAATGCAGTCCAAAGTCCCATATCCCAAAGTACTGGCATTGTACAATGAACACATGATTGTGTTGACAAATTTTAGCGCCTGAAGAGGACACATAAAATTGATAGTGAAAGGAACGAGTGGTGACATTGCAGCTTCTGGTATTTTAAAGAAAATTGTATGAAAATGCATGCATGTATGCATACAGAGCGATTGAGCTCATAAAATAACAGTGGATGACTTCTACGCGAAAACTACAAAGGTACTGAAAGAAGGGATCAGGGATCAGAAAGTCAACAAATCCAGCAGATCCAGTGCTGAAAACATTGTATAATTTTATAAAATCAGACGATGGACAAAGTCCAAAAACCCGACTGTCCAGGCAGATTTTCATTTAGTACTTGTGATATAGTACATTTATTTCCTACATGGCAGCTGGTATTTTCTGAGTTACACAAAACCAATGACACGAATGTCGTATCTGTGTGGTGTTGCTCTAAATTTCAGTCCTCAATATCAGAAAATTTGTTTTTTTTATTGTTTATTTCTGAAAAACTCCTCTAACAACAAATTACAAAATTTTGGAAGGGATAAATAGGTTATCCTCTATCTTATAACAAATTTTAAAGAAATCATAGAAAATCATACCTGGCAGCCTCTTCCATCGTAGTTTGTACTGTTGTGTCACAGAAAATACAGAGTCAAACCTTCCAGTCTGCATGTTTCTATAAGCTTCTGCAAGGAATGAAGTTTTTAAGAAAGGTGATGTGCATTGTATCAGAGCAACTATATCAACCTCTGCAAAAAAAAGAAAAGAAAAACGAATCATGTATTTGAATACATTCTACTATGACTATCCAAAATAAAACACAACCTACATTAACAGTACCAGTAACATCTGAGTGACCCACAGGCACTAACTTCTGAATGGATAAGGTGATTTGGCATCTGTCCGGCTAGGTGATGTCATCATCGGGGATCGCCCGCACAGTGGTAGACAAAATGGTTGCTGTGAATTATGACAGACATGCTCCCAAGCAGTTTTAACATCACTTTCACAAGCAGAAACATGTACAGTCCACGACTGTAATCTTGACACTTGCAAGGAATGCAGGAAGTCCATAGCGTTAAAGGCAGACGCTATCTTTCCTCCTTCACACCACATCAGTTCCATGTCTGAGGTCATAGGTCCTAATCCAGTCATTAGCCCCAAGCCCAAGATCACTCATCCTAAACCAGACCACTCATTTATCTTAAAAGTAATTGGTCCAGGTAACAGGTCATAGTTACTATCATTCATCAGTACTAGTGTTTTGTCTACAGGAGCAGCTTATCATAACAAACCTGGGTGAAATGAACAGAACTCCTGAACTCCCACTATTGATGGGGCAGAGTCTGTGGCACTTTCTGGGGACCGCCAATGCACTTGAGCACCTGCAGTACTAGCTTCTTTTGCAATATCAGCACTATCAGTTGACACCCAAACTGATGAAAATCCTGTAATAAATCACTTTAGTATACACACACTGCTGAAATAATTTGCCATGGAATACTGAAAAGAATGCAATTATGTTATACTTACTGCCAAATTCATGTATGGTATTAAGGGAACGTTTAAGCAAAGTAGTTCCATTTACTTTTGCCAAATTTTTTAGAGGGATACCTTTACTACCACCTCTTGCCAGGATTAAGGAAGCAAAATGTGGTTCCTTGGATGTGTCAAAATGACTGCAGCCATAGCTTCCATTATAAAGTACAGACCTAAAAGAAAAAGAAGTTTGTGCTGGTATACGATATTTAATTCCTTAGTATTTTATTATGCTAACAAGACAAAGTCTGAGCACAGTCTATAAATTACTGTCATAACTATGTAATTTATATTTGTATTAGAAACAAGAATTGTATTTCTGATATAACACGTTCCGCATCCTTACGAAGGATTTGTGGAATGTAAATAAATTCTGTTCTATTCATGTCAATAATGGTGTGGATGCTTTGGAACACTAACCTAATTTCACGCAGACTACTGTTACAGCCACTGTCAAATAATTTGTTGGAAGCGTGTGAGAAATTAGCAACAAAATATGTTAAAAACATACACAGAATAATTAACATTAGCGGAATATATCCTGCAAAACAAATCAGTTAACTGCTACAAAATATCGTCTGCAAAACGTCACGTGACGCCAAGGTCACTAGTGAAGTGTTAGAAAATACAGACGTAGCAATCACAGATGACTGACCAGGTGATTCGTGTTACTGACGTGCTGTTGAATTCTCTTAGGCAATGTGTGAACAGTTTATTTCAAAATCTAAAAGTTGTGGGAGGGTTATAGTAATGTCCCTGAAATGCTGACATCACTTTTTAAATATTTAATAACGTTAATAATTTCTTAATGTATAGACCATACTGTATTATTCTACTATAGAGCACATTTCATTTAAAGAAGAGTCTCTACAATTGGCACAACAATGCTGTTTAGCTCAATTATTTTATCAGTACTGCCAATATTGAATGGCCTAAAGGAAGATAAAGCTTCCAATGTCGCCTCAAGATTATTAAATGAAAAGGTATGTATTTGATGCTAGCAAATATATTCATGTGTTAGGTCATGAGTTGATTTCCTCAACAGAGTAAAATTCAAAATCAAACATGGTCAGTGATGAAAATTCTGATTTTATTTTGCCACAGAATTCACATACTCCAGTTCCACTCAGTGATGAGCAGATCATTAAAGTTGCAAGTCTTTCAAATGTCAACCACTTTGAGTATGTGCTGGACACCATATTGATACCAAGAGTTGTTGGAACAGCAAATCATGAATTTGTGAAGCAGGTAATTTCATATTAATGTTTTACTGAGGCATTATTCAACATGAGTCACCCTCTTTTCAAGGGTTGGATTTTGCATTCTTCCATATAATAAAATAATTATGCTCCATTATAACAATAAATATTAAATTATGACTCCCAAAATATAATAAAATGTTGGTATAGAAAGGTAAAATTTGTACAATGGAATTATTTTGAATTGAATACAGCTGCTGTCAAAATCTCAACCATTCATTGTTTATTTTCCATTTTGCCAGCCACTATAAGAATCATCTGGTAAGTAACTGATGCAGAATTTAAACTATAGGCAAAATAAGTTTCTCTGATTTTATTACAAGTATGCTACCCTCTGTTCTGCAGTTTATTTTATTGAAAAAATCTACATTTCTGCCATAAGCATGCAACATAGTGGGACACACAACAAGCTTACTGATATTTAATATAAAGTTAGTTAGTTATTCATATTATTTCCTGTCAACTAGTTTATCATCAAAACAATGCAAGAACTAGACTGGAAGGTAGAATCAGACCCATTTGAAGAAACTACACCTATATTTGGACGTCTGCAGTTTGAGAATATTGTGGCAACATTAAATCCCAATGCAAGGCGGTATCTTGTTTTGGCGTGTCATTATGACTCCAAATACTACAGGGAGAGTGATTTTGTTGGTGCAACTGATTCAGCAGTGCCTTGTACCATGATGATTAACTTGGCACATATTCTGTCACAACCACTGAAGAGCACGCTGTCTGAGGTGAGATACTATTTCTTTAATGCAGGAAGTGCATAAGCATGGCATGTAAAAATTTTAATTTCATTATGTATTAGAATTGCTCACAGATTTTTAAAATTTAACAGTTTTGATGAGACTGTAGCATTATGCAAGAATTCAGTTACTGTACATTATTTTTTATCACAGAATGACTTAAGTTTGAAATTCATCTTCTTTGATGGAGAGGAGGCATTTGAAGAATGGGGACCAAAAGACTCAATTTATGGGGCACGACACCTAGCAGCAAAATGGGAGCAAAGTGCATATCCGAAGGACAACAGAGATGGTACAAACCAGCTCCACAGAATGGTTAGTGGCATTCTGCTTGAATCCAAATTGTATAACAGGTTCTTTCTGCATTTAAAAAGTAAAGTCCCTGCATTTAACCCTTGAAATCGATACTTGTGAGGAATTGGCCTCTCACATCCATTGGATATGAAGTTCGGTGGCCTGAGTGCTGGTCTGAATGCAGCTGCAAATGGTAAGAGAATCCGTGCCAGAAATCAAAACCAGTCATCCAGCATGTAACTAGTCACCATATTGACTAAGCCATCTCTGCTCAAAACACTGATTAATACAGTGAAATGTTACAATATTTTTTTAGAACTGGGATCCATCCATCCATCCAATGGCTCTACAGCCCATATCGGGCCTTGGCCTCCTCAATTTTCTGCCTCCATGAAGATCTATTATTTGCGGCCATTTTCCAATTTCGACATTGGATCAGACTGGCAGCATCCCGTCTCACAGCATCTTCCCATCTTCCTCTAGGTCTTCCTACTGTTCTTGTCCCTTCATACTTAGCATTTAGGACTTTCTTAGGGGTTCTTGTGCCATCCATCCTTTGTTAGAACTGGGATAACAAGATATTTACTCTATTAGTGTGTTCATATCTAAGAAACTGAAAACCTGAAGTTTTTATAAAGATGTGAAGAACAACTTCATCCATTACCAAGTTATAATCATTCTGAAAAAAAAAAAAAATTCATTTGACTTATCACCTCTAATTTTCTTCTTCTCTTGAGAGTAAATGAATAGGATGCTAAAAAAGTATATGTTTCTATATTTGTTTGTCATCATTTGTAGTTTAACCTTTTATAAAGAATGGATAATTAAATTTGACTCCAGAAGTAAATACTTAGGTTGAATTCCAAAGTAGTAATTTAATACATTACAAAAACAGTTTTGTAGTAACTTTTACTATTGAAAGGTCAGGGTTCTTGGTTAAAACTATTGGTGTATTAGTACTGAAGGTCTTATCAGTAAGCAAGGCTTCACTAGTAATTATGTGATGAAGGCCACAAACACATTCCATTACCTGTTTTTATAACTTCCTGTTAGCAGCATTGATGCTTATACCAAATAAGTAGCTAGTGGGACAGAACTCTTATTTTCTCTCTCAGTAGAAGTTCACACTATTTAATTTGAAGTTCGCTGTATTATGTGGTTATACCATGTTTTCTGGAAAGCAATTAAAAGACACAGCAAGAAGTTTTGGATTAAACTAACTGTTTGATTCCCTTTAACTGCCTCATTAACTCACTTGCTACATATAGCAGTCCTTCCTGACAAACTTATGGTCGCTGAGCTAATAACGAAATTCCTCCCCTTTATAGAACCAGAACTTTTGTGGAACGTGAATGTGTGGGTAGATACGTTATTATGCATACAAACTCAGTCTTTTATCTTCATTGTATTCATATATGCTTTATCACAGGGTCACACTTCACAGTTCTACAGTCACATTCCATGAACAAGCAGAAATCTGAAAGCAAATGTTATTTTCCAACCATTCCTTCAGCCCTGATGATAGAGGCACTGAAACATTGGCAACAAGCACCCAATAGCAGGTTCAACTTCAGTAACGAATTGCCATGAAAGCTTAAAATCAGCCATAAATCAGTTGCGCAAAATATGATTACCGATGCATTATTTGTTTTCATAAGAGCGTTCAATTTGTCTTTTGGCAGGATGTTCTAGTTTTGCTGGACCTACTCGGGGCCCCAGATCCATTATTTTACAGTTACTTCAAAGAAACAGAAAGCTGGTACCGTCAAATGATGTTAGCAGAAAGAAACCTGGCAAGATTGGGCCAACTGGTGCAATATTCAGTGGGGAAACCTGATCAGTATTATTTTCAGCAGATGTCAAGACGCGGTGGCATTGAAGACGATCATATTCCGTTCATGATTCGAGGTATGTGTTCGTAATAAAGTAAGTGGGTTACAAGTGGGTCCTGTATGTCTATTTTATATAGCAAAAGCCAGAATATAACCACATTATTCAAATATAAAAATAACACCTTCTTACCGCTACATTTTATTTTCAACTGAAGAAGCAAACACCAAATGAAAACAAGACACATACAAAATGACAGATAAATGGTAATCAACAAGAAGCAAGCCAATTAGTGATCAATTAAAAACAAGCTAATGACAATTAATGGAAGACAAACAGCGGGACAAATTGTGCGTGTCACGTGTTATTATCACGGTTCACGTGAAATCTTAATTGAAGGATCTTAGACGTTGAGGTATGAAATTAAATTTAGAACGGTTAGTGCTTCTGAAACAATCTCATACCGCTGCACAAATTGTGATACATACTGTAATCGTCATCTGTCCAATTTCCCAGAAACTGTGGAATCACATTTCTTTACATATTTTTCATGGTAAAAAAAAAAACATTTATTTGAATAAGAATAAATGTAACAAAAAATATACCTTATACTATGGCGAACAGAGCACTGAAGTAGAAAATGATTTCTTTTTCAGGTGTCCCCATCTTGCATATAATTCCAGTTCCATTCCCTTCAGTGTGGCATACAGAAGGCGATAATCGAAATGCTGTTAACATGGCAACAGTTGAAAACCTTAACAAGATTTTGAGGCTTTTTGTGGCAGAATATCTTCATTTACAGGTCTAAATTAAATCCATATGATCACCCAGGACATAATATTAAAACTGAAAAGAGTCAGTTAAAAATCTGTAGAGTGTTTTAAGAGGGTAAAATGTTCTTGAAAGACATCCAATGCATACTTTAAAAATCTGTAGAGTGTTTTAAGAGGGCAAAATGTTCTTAAACGACATCCGATGCATACTCTTTCTATATTAATAGATAGGCATTACTTCTGCGCGTACATCTACAAGACAATATACATATATCGGCAAAGTGAGCCATTTTCATGTACCCATAAACTATTAATAAACACAAAATTCTTACCAGTTAGAAGCCAGAATAGGAACAGCGCCTCATTGGTTGGCTGTTTAGTGAAGAAGTTTAAGGTAGGAGAGAAACAGTTCTTATTTCAGCTGTGATGCACATGATGTTGAAATTTCAAGACTGTTTTGGAGAAAATAACACAACCACTTCCATATATTTCCTGGCTGATCATTCATAATCATATTTGCATCTCATTCAGCACTACAAACAACAACAATTACATTTCAATAAATCCTGAAAGATGTGCATCTGAAGAGTAGATGGGTATAGTTGGTTCAAGAGATTTAACATAAAAATACAGAGAATATTGCTAAGTAACAATAAAGTAAGCCCTTTCTTATGAATGTGTATTACTTTTTCAGTCTTTTGTACTTAAGAATTGTGTTTTATTATTTTATTACCTTGCATAGGACTAACCTTCAAATTTATTATTTTACATTCTGTACATAATTAAAACCAATTAATGTTTACTGAAGAATATTTTTAAAATGTGTAAAAAAGATAAGTTTGATGAGCAACTTAAATATATAAAAATGTTTACTATATTTTTATACAAACAGTATAAGTTAAACTAATGCTTTTTTTTAGTTCCAAATATTATGAAACATTAAAATATGCAGAAGACTGCAGTAATACTCAAAAAATGTATTCATCAAAGTTTTATAATTTGTATTGACCTTCAGTACTGCACTGCATTGTATTATATTAATAATAATATTAGATATTAATATATTGTACTAATATTTTGGTAAATTTAATAAAAGATCAGAGGGGTATATTATTATAAGAAGTCATGACTGGAAATAGTATTCCAACATGGATTTTATTCTAGTTTGTTTATTCATTCTGTAGGATGTTCTGATGGTAGGATTTATTTTATGAATAAATAAATACTGATTTGTGATACTGGTATTTTTTAGTAGTTTAAAACAACGGAGGTTTCAGTTAAATGCTACTGGTCAGTGGTCACCTTATTTATACGTATATTATTTTGTGATTAATGCTGGGGGACTGTAATTAGGGTATGCAGTATTGACTTGATATTTTGGCCAATTTTTCATTTTATATAAAACGGAGCTTACCGTATAATGTCTGCATATGTGCGTGTTGGTACGCTATTCTTAAAAACATTTTAACCAATTGACAGAATTCCAATCTTCATTTTAATTACCTTGCCATCAGTTATGAAGTGAATGTACCACTTGCAGGATCATCAAATTTTGTCAGGTGAAAAATCTTAAAAAATTACGTATACAATTTCTATATTAAATAACAATGTGGATATGAGAAATTCATACTTGGTGACAGAAACAAATGAACAACCGAAGCTAAGAATAGGAAATATGGCATATAAATAGATCATATTTTGCACGAAACAATTCTTTTTGTATGTTAAATATTACAAATATGGTAATGCAATAAAATTTTGAGGTTATGTCTGATAATTGTAAGGCAAAGGACCCCACACAAAAAACACAAGTTTTATAATTATTAGTTTATAGTTCCTATTGCCTCATTATATGAAGAGAAGTATTTAAAGGCACACCAGAGCTTCTTTCTAATCCATATTTTTTCCATTCTGCTTCCTTCTGAAGATCTCGGACCATCGGAAGAAAGTAGTTGGGCCGAGACCAGCAAGGCCAAGAACACCTTGGCTTGAGGCGTATGCCAGAAACAAGCTGCATTTATATGAAACCAAAAATCATCACTGTCCCAGCCAAAAGAATATTTAATACAGAAATTGTAGAGGAGTTGAAAATAGTTCCAGTCATTTTTGGTGTTTATAATATCTGATGCTTTGTGTCCTGTTATTTTTCAGATCCCGATGGTAGCAGTGAGAGCCACTTCTTCGCCACTTCTCTTCCTATTACCACTGCTCAGTCCTTCTCGTGTTCTACTGTCCTATGCGTGAGATGCAGGCACCCGTCTAGTCGGACATCATTCACGAAACTCAAGAGCTTCATTTCGTGGACTTAATTTGCATAAATGTAATGTAATGTAAATCTTCATCTGTTTTGGTAATTTCATTAAGCTAAATTAACTATACAGCACATTTATTTATGTGCGTAATACCGTAAGCAAACGACTTTAGATTATGAAGTTGCATAAGTTATAAACAGTAAACAAAAAAAAGTTGACATATTGAATTTATTTATTTTTGAATACGAAACAAATACTGGGCAGTTTAGCACGTCATATGCGAACTGAAATGGAGCGTGGTCAGTAAGTAAAAATGATCTTTCCATATTCGTAAACTGACACAGAACACTGCATTCAAGTCATCGGTAAGCTGATAAAGATACTAATTTCACATTCACTTTTCTTATTAGCGAATCTGTGCGTGTTATAATCTCAACAGGAAAGAGTTAAAGCCACTTCGGACTTTCTTTGAATCCAATTTCCTGTAACTGCAGACGCCAATTATTATGATTTTCCGATCATTACTGCTGGCTGAGAATTTCAGGTGCAATTTGAAAGGTATATTTCTAGAAAGTTTTGTATTTATATTTATTTTACCTAAAGATGGATCCACTGTCATCTAAAAGACATTAATTTTACATGCTTTTAAGTATTTCACTGCTGTGTAATATTAGTAAGAAGACTTACCAGAAGGTAAGGTAACTAAGGATCACAAAAGATGCCGAAGGACGAAGATGACAGAAAGAGATTTATCATTGCCGTACAGCAGCTGTTGTGTCAACACAGTTGGCATTATGCTTTATTTATTTTGAAGGCTTTTATTGGCATGAATAAAGTGTTGTGAGTAAAGGGGTAGGAAAACTTTTAGCCTATTTCAAGGTTCTCGCCCAGAATTTATTTATATAAACTGAGATAAAGCGCGTTAAACTTAATTCAAAACAGTCAGTTTTATATAGGATTTAAACTGGGTACCTCTTGGATATGAAGAAACAGGAAATTTACTATAATACTGGGAACGACCCGTTCTTCAAGTGCCTGAGCACTGCGGGTCCCAACTTTTTTGTTGGCTCGATCTATAGACATTTGATAGGACTCCTTGGACGAGGGATCGGCCCGTCGCAAGGCCTCTACCTGTACACAGGACAGCACAACACAAAAAACATCCATGGCTTGAGTGGGATTCGAACCCACGGTCCCAGCGACCGAGCGGCACAAGGTCCACGCCTCGGACCGCGTGGCCACTGCTATAATGCAGATATAAACCATGAAGATTGTCAGTGACGCAGCAGAATTTCATTCTCCGAGTCATATCTGCGGGGGAATAAATTTGGTTAATGCTAATGTAGAATCTAAAGTTTTCACAGCAACTAACATTAATAAAATCTTCTCTTTCCATTAGCCTTGTAAATTAGTTAAAAATCACTGACATTTCAGAAACTATATCCCCATCACAGCCTTGAAGACAGGCCCTGAGATAATGATAAATGGCCTTTATTACCTGCACACAAACTTTCAAAAATCACTAAATATCAAGCTATATATTTTTATATTCGTGGTTTGCTTAATGGCATTCTTAGTAACTTCGACTGTTCATGTCAGATAAAGCTATATAATTACGAGATGTATATACAGGGTGTTTCAGATTATAGGAGAAATACGGCAGGGATGTGCCATCAATTAGTTAACGATGGTCTTACATCAGGAATCATCATCTGTACGTGAAACACAGTAAAGACTTGTAGCGTAAGACAAGCTACAGCTTGTTCAGTAATGTGAGCAAATGTGCGGGTCCATTTTATATTTGGGGCAGACAAGATGCATTAGTATGTGGAAGTACCGATTTCTTATACTGGTAAATTAACAAGGGGCTTGAGCAGGCTAGTCTGAGTAGACTGCGACACAAGCTTGCTACTGGTGAGATCAAACTCTTCTCCCCCATTCATAACGATTTTGAGATAAAACAATGAACTGTCTGGTCAATCCATCGTCTTGATTTTGTTTAATAAACCGAGAGATTGGGATTGCTCTATCGATTACGTCCAACAAAGTAGTTTTTACCTGAGGGCAGAGACTGAGCCCAGTCTCCGAAATGTCGTATTTTTTAACAAAAATCAAGACAATGGATAGTGTCTAGACAGTTTTAACAATACGCCTTCGTCACAAACCTTGCCCCCCCCCCATGTCAAAACTTGTGTGTTTTGAGAGTTGAGAAGAGATATTTCTGGCCAATTCTGTAGCCACGTGTTATCCAACCTCATTCTTCCTAATGCATGATTTCTTCATCACATCCAAAAAGCCACTGAGAATGTCCATCACAATCCGCATGTACTACTGAATATTTGCCATTGTTACGCCTGCGTAAGAGATCTAGGGTATCATTTTGAAAAAAAGTTCCGTATCCTACCTGACCAATGCTGCACAATTTTTTTTGAAAGTTTTTAGAGAGCTGTACTTTCATTATTAAATGGAGGACTCACAACCACCCTTAATCTTAGGCTACGCTGCGTACAGAATATTTTAAATTACCATTTAAAAGAACCATTACTACACCCCTGTCTCGACTGCAACCCTGTTTACATCCACCGGTCTTTCATCACTTAATAACCGTTTAATGCATAAAGCGATCATGTGCCGTGGTTTTATATAACTGAACATTGGTTAACGAGAACATATTCATAAGATTCCCTTAATAAATGAGCAATTCCGTTTTTCAGTACTTATTTTAAGTTAACAATGGGCGAAGAGTTATTTCGTTTTTCCACTTTTGATACACGTAACATCGCTTTGTCAATGCACCCGATACGAAAGTAAGTACCAACCGATGCGTCGTATATGTGTGTGTTTTTGTTAACGTGGTAACGGACCAGGGTATAATGTTGTTCACTTTTGTATTGAAAACTAAAACCTGACCTCAGGAAACTTTCTGAACACGCGATAGTCGTTTGTGTCGCTGGTAGAAACGATTCCAAGAAAACTAGGCGACAAATTATTGCATACGTAAATGTACTACAGGGAACAACAGGCTCAGGGGTGTACATACAGCAATGGTGCACGTAGGTAAGTATAAATATGGCTGTCTTATAGGTTATGTAACGTCTTGTAGTTTGGTGGAAGTTTACCGACATTTCAGAGATACCTTTCTGTCTCCATCGCGAAACTGAATACACGTCACATTATTTTCCAAATACACAAATTTCATTTGTTACAAGTGATTTTTTTGGCAAGACACGTTAGTTTTTACTGAGTTTCTGTGAAAATTCAGAAAGGTCTTTGTCTGCTACATGGAGGACTTGCAGTTGACTTGAATCTCTATGGTACTTGTTTGTTATATCACAGGAAGTTAACAATCCGACAATTAAAAGTGTCTCGTTATTTGATCGTTAAAAAAATTCTAGCTTAATGGAATCCACGGCAGACACACTGTAAAAAAATACACGTCTTCAAGTACAGATCCGGAAAGAACTGACTTCGAATCTCAGCTTCGTATTAATTAGTAGTTTAATTCTATTAAAACGGAAGTATCACTTCTTGCGACAAAATCATTCGACCGAGTTGTTAATTTCATTCCGAAACACGAGAAGATGTTCTAGATCTATTTTTATTCTTTGAAAATCAGATTAAAATATTTACAAAGGGAAATTTTACTACAAATTATTCTAAATTGACGTGTAAATTAATTAGCATTACCTTTACTCTTTGACTTCCGGTTTTAACAATGACTCTTTAAGCCCGTAATAGCAGATAGCATTTACATATCGCACATTTTATAGTTATAAATAAATCAAACCCATCCATTATTCTCCGAATTTTTGAATGTTAAAATTGCCATAAATACCAAATTAACACAGTGGTAATAAAGACGACTATGACACAGACTTCGCCGAAATGGAGATAATGTGACAGGATAACTTAACAAGCGAGACATTTCCCTGACAACATTCAACTTTGTAGAGGTCACATAAAATATGACCTTGTGCATGGGTACCAGGTGT